AGAAGCCAGTTGAAGAAATCATTCCTGATGAATCAACTGAACCGCTCCCAGTGACAGAATTCCAAAGACCAGGGGAAACTGAAGAAGTCCGCGAACAGGTAACAGTAACTGAAGAAATAACTCATGAGGGCAAACCTAAGAAAACTACTAAAAAGAAGATTATTAGAAAGAAGGGCAAGAAGCAGCAGGTAACTGAAGAGGTTACTGTTGAAGAAGAGGGCAAGGCTCCAGTTAAAACTGTTACTGAGAAGCCAGTTGAAGAAATCATTCCTGATGAATCAACTGAACCGCTCACAATGACAGAATTACAGAGACCAACAGAAACTGAAGAAGTCCGTGAACAGGTAACAGTAACTGAAGAAATCACTCATGAAGGCAAACCTAAGAGAACTACTAAAAAGAAGATTATCAGAAAGAAGGGCAAGAAGCAGCAGGTAACTGAAGAGGTTACTGTTGAAGAAGAGGGCAAGGCTCCAGTTAAAACTGTTACTGAGAAGCCAGTTGAAGAAATCATCCCTGATGAATCAACTGAACCGCTCCCAGTAACAGAATTCCAAAGACCAGCGGAAACTGAAGAAGTCCGCGAACAGGTAACAGTAACTGAAGAAATAACTCATGAGGGCAAACCTAAGAAAACTACTAAAAAGAAGATTATCAGAAAGAAGGGCAAGAAGCAACAGGTAACTGAAGAGGTTACTGTTGAAGAAGAGGGCAAGGCTCCGGTGACCACTGTTATTAAGAAGCCAGTTGAAGAAATCATCCCTGATGAATCAACTGAAACACTTCCAATGACAGAATTACAGAGACCAACAGAAACTGAAGAAGTCCGTGAACAGGTAACAGTAACTGAAGAAATCACTCATGAAGGCAAACCTAAGAAAACTACTAAAAAGAAGATTATCAGAAAGAAGGGCAAGAAGCAACAGGTAACTGAAGAGGTTACTGTTGAAGAAGAGGGCAAGACTCCAATTAAAACTGTTACTGAGAAGCCAGTTGAAGAAATCATTCCTGATGAATCAACTGAACCGCTCCCAGTAACAGAATTCCAAAGACCAGCGGAAACTGAAGAAGTCCGCGAACAGGTAACAGTAACTGAAGAGATCACTCATGAGGGCAAACCTAAGAAAACTACTAAAAAGAAGATAATCAAAAAGAAGGGCAGGAAGCAACAGGTAACTGAAGAAGTCACTGTTGAAGAAGAGGGCAGAGCTCCAGTGACAACTATTACAGAAAAACCAATAGAAGAAGTTTTGTACGAAACCATCAAACCATTATCAGTGCCTGAATTGGACCAGCCTAAAGAGTCAGAGGAGGTTCGTGAACAGGTGACGGTGACAGAGGAAATAACTCCCGAAGGTAAATCGAAGAAAGTAATTAAAAAGCAAGTTGTCAAGAAGAAGGGAAGAACGCAACAAGTAACTGAAGAAGAAACTGTTCAGGAGGAAGGAAAAGCTCCAGTAACACGAGTGATTGAAAGACCGATTGAAGAGATCATTTTCGATGAAACAACTGGACCGATTTCAGCGATAAAGGCTGTGAAGCCTATTGAAACTGAAGAAGTTCGAGAACAGGTTACCGTTACTGAAGAAGTCACTCACGATGGCAAACCAAAAAGAATCATAAAGAAGAAGATCATCAAGAAGAAGGGCAGAAAACAGCAAGTTACAGAAGAAGTAACAATTCAAGAAGGAGACAAGGCCCCTGTAACAAAAGTCATTGAAAAGCCTGTAGAAGAAGTATTGTACGACGAGACAACACAGTCAATTCCCACAATGGAATTAGTACAACCTGGAGAAAGTGAAGAAATTCGCGAACAGGTAACAGTCACTGAGGAGGTCACTCATGAAGGTAAGCCTAAGAAAGTCATTAAGAAAAGGATCTTTAAGAAGAGAGGAAGAAAACAACAAGTTACTGAAGAAGAAACCATTATCGAGGAAGGCAAAGCTCCTATAACAACAGTGACCGAAGTACCTGTTGAAGAAATTCTTTACGACAAACCTGCTGAAATTATCCTGGTGCCTGAAACAGTGAAGCCTGATGATGTTGAAGAGGTTCAGGAACAGGTGACTGTGACAGAAGAAGTTACGTTGACAGGCAAACCAAAGAAAGTAACGAAAAGGCGCATCACCAGTAAGAAGGGCAAGAAGCAACAGGTCACTGAAGAAGAGACTGTTGAAGAAGAAGGTAAAGCTCCTGTAACAACGGTAATTGAGAAACCAGTTGAAGAGATTCTGTATGACGAAACAACTGAACCGTTGCCAGTTGTAGAATTTGGTAAGCCAACTGAATCTGAAGAAGTGCGTGAACAGGTTACGGTTACCGAGGAGACGACACCAGAAGGTAAAACGAAGAAAGTCATCAAGAAGAAGATCATTAAAAAGAAGGGAAAGAAACAACAGGTTACTGAAGAAGAAACAGTTGTAGAGGATGGTAAAGCTCCTGTGCTAACTGTGACTGAAAAGCCAGTTGAAGAGATTATCTATGACGAAACCACTGAACCATTGCCAAGTGTAGAGTTTGAAAAACCAACTGAATCAGAAGAGGTACGAGAACAAGTAACTGTGACTGAGGAAAGAACACCTGAAGGTAAAACGAAGAAGGTCATCAAGAAGAAGATTATCAAAAAGAAGGGAAAGAAACAACAAGTTACTGAAGAAGAAACCGTTGTCGAGGATGGCAAAGCTCCGGTTGTAACTGTCACTGAAAAACCCATTGAAGAAATTCTCTATGACGAAACTACGGAACCCCTACCAACTTTAGAGTTTGGAAAACCAACTGAATCTGAAGAGGTAAGGGAACAAGTAACTGTAACTGAGGAAAAAACACGCGAGGGTAAAACAAGGAAAATTATTAAAAAGAAAATTACCAAAAAGAAGGGGAAGAAGCAACAAGTAACTGAAGAAGAAACAGTTGTCGAAGATGGTGCAGCTCCGATTGTAACAGTAACTGAGAAACCTGTTGAAGAAATTATTTACGACGACAGGGTTGAACCATTGCCTGGGCCTGAATTAGTTAAACCATTCGAATCTGAAGAAGTGCGCGAACAAGTTACTGTTACCGAAGAGACGACTCCAGAAGGTAAAACAAAGAAAGTCATCAAGAAGAAGATCATTAAAAAGAAAGGAAGGAAACAACAGGTTACCGAAGAAGAAACAGTTGTAGAAGAAGGTAAAGCTCCTGTGCTGACAGTAACTGAAAAACCAGTTGAAGAAATTCTATATGATGACACTGTCCACGCCTTCCCAGGCCCAGAAAGCGTTAAACCTGTTGAATCAGAGGAAACTCGTGAACAGGTGACAGTAACCGAAGAAATAACACACGAGGGCAAACCTAGAAAAGTGATTAGGAAGAAGATCTTCAAAAAGAAAGGTAAGAAGCAACAAGTAACAGAAGAACAGACTGTGCTAGAGGAAGGCAAAGCTCCAGTGACAACAGTCACTCAGTTACCAGTCGAAGAGGTCATTTATGATGATTCTCTTGTGCCTCTCGCTGCTCCTGAATTTATCGAACCCACTGAATCAGAAGAAGTTCAGGAACAAGTGACAGTGACAAAGGATATAACACCGGAGGGTAAAGAGAAGAAGATTATCAAGAAGAAGATAATCAGAAAGAAGGGACGAAAGCAACAAGTGACTGAAGAAGAGATCATTGAAGAGCAAGGAAAAGCTCCTGTGACTAAAGTCACTGAAAAGCCAGTGGAAGAAATTCTTTACGACGAAACCACTGAACCTTTGCCGGTGCCTGAATTCATGAAGCCTGATGAAAGTGAAGAAGTTCGTGAACAAGTAACTGCTACCGAAGAAATCACACCTGAGGGTAAACGTAAGAAAGTTATCAAGAGACGTATTATCAAAAAGAAAGGTAAGAAACAGCAAATCACTGAAGAAGAAACTGTAGTGGAGGATGATAAGGCTCCAGTGACCACTATTACTGAAATACCTGTTGAAGAAATACTTTACGATGAAACAGCTAAACCATTACCTGCACCAGAAATGATAACACCTGATGAAACAGAAGAAGTACAGGAAGAGGTAACCGTCACTCAGGAAACAACAAAGGAAGGCAAACCAAAGAAAATCATTAAAAAGAGAATTTCTAAGAAGAAGGATAATAAGCGACAAGTCACTGATGTGATAACTGTTGAAGAAGAGGGTAAGGCTCCTGTTACATCGGTTATCGAACAACCCGAGGAAGAGATAATTTCAGAAGAGACAATTAAGCCTCTTCCTGAAATGAAAGAGATTGCACCTACAGATGTTGACGAAACTCGTGAACAAGTAACAGTGACTGAGGAAGTAACTCATGAAGGAAAACTAAAGAAAGTCACCAAGAAACGTATCGTCAAAAAGAAGGGCATCAAACAACAAGTAACAGAACAAACAACAGTTGAAGAAGAAGGAAAGGCCCCAGTAACTGAAGAGATTGAACAACCAGTTGAGGAAGTCTTATACGACGAAGAAATTCAACCAGGAGATGAAAAGTCTCCCGAAGATGAAACTGTGCGCCATCAACTGACTGTGACTGACGAGATCACGCCTGAAGGTAAATCCAAGAAGATCATCAAAAAGAGGATTACGAGAAAGAAGGGAAAACGCCAAAAAGTTACGGAAGAAGTTACTATTCAAGAAGATGGAAAAGAACCTATCACTTCTGTCATTGAACAACCAGAAGAAGATATTATATTCGATGAACCTATCGAGACTTCGACAGCTACAAAACCAATGAAAAAGGTTAAGAAAATTATCAAAAAGAAGCCAAAACATCCAGGCGAAGTTGAAGAACAACCAGAACTCCCGGAAGACGTTTCCAAGGATGTTAAGGAACCAAAACAAAAAGCAAAACCTGGATTGGTGAAGATGCAAATAACAGAAGTCAAGCCAACCAAGTTGAAGATCGGAAAACCTGAACCCGAGCAGCCGCAATTTGCACAGATTAAACTAAAGAAGGCTCCAATAGTGAAACGAAAGGATGGAAAGAAAGATAAATTCCCGAAGGTCCTTCTGCGCAGTCGTATCAAATTCTTCGATTGGCCACCTGGCATGAGGTTCCCAAAAATAAGTTTCCTCGAACCAATAGACGTTCAAAATGGTGAACTCTCTCGAAATGTGGAGGATGCATTAAAACTAAAAAAGATCAAACAAAAGAAACGTAAGCCTCAGGAAAGAGATGAAGTTGATTTAGAGAAACTTGATCTGGAATTCGAAGAACTGAAGAAAGTCCCGCTAGAAAAGGTTGAAGACCAATCAGTTTATGAAAGACAACCTAAACCAGAAAAGCCGAAAGAAAAACCAAAAGAGAAGCTAAAAATTGGTAAAGGTAAAGTTCCTGAAAAGGAAGAGGAGGAACCAGAGAAGGTCAGTTTGAAGAAAATTCCTCAGAAGGAGACTAAAGATACCGAAGAATTGAAGCCTACTCCTAAAAAGAAAGAGAAAGCCGCTCCTGAAAAGAAACCAAAGGATCAAGCTGAATATCCTGAAGCTCCTGAATTTAAACCATATGATATTGACTTTACCGAACCAGAGCATGCTGAGCGAGAACCACTGGAATTCGGCCAAGAGGAAAAACCTGTTATTGGACCAGAAGAAAAGAAAAAACCAAAACGCAAACCTAAGAAACCAATACAAGAAGAGGAGCAAATTCCAATAGTCCCCGGAATTCCTAAGAAAAAGGAACCAGAAGAAACTCCGGATAAGAAATTCCGAATTCCTCAACGAGACAAACCCGACGAGGATAAAGAAGATGTTAACCTAAAGCCCTGGATAAAGCCAAAAGATGCCAACGAAGAAGAAAAACCACACGACGATACTCTTAAATTTATTCCATCTGACCAAGATGAGGTCCCAGACTCCGTGGAAATTATAACAACTGAACATATTGAGGAGACTCCAGATAAGAAACATAAAAAGGTTACGAAAAAGCACATTCTCAAAAAGAAAGGAAAGAAGCAACAAGTGGTTGAAGAAACAACCGTTGAGGAGGACGGAAAGGAACCAGTCACAACCGTTACTGAAGAACCAGTTGAAGAAATTGTATCTGAGAAGACAATAGTACCAAGACCTGTTGAGGAGGCTGAAGTTCCAGAAGATGTCGAAATTCGTGAACAAGTTACTGTTACCGAAGTTACACCAGAGGATGGTAAACCAAAGAAAATCACAAAGAAAAAGATCGCTGTGAAACGCGGTAAGAAACGAACAGTCACGGTCGAAGAAACGGTTGAAGAAGAAGGAAGCGCTCCGATTACTACAGTGACTGAATTACCTACAGAGGAAGTAATCGAAGAGGAGACTTACACGCCCTTACCGATTACCGAAGAATTTAAACCGACCGTCGAGGAAGTGACCGAGCAAGTGACTGTAACCGAAGAAGTTACGCCCGAAGGTATTCCAAAGAAAATTACTAAGAAACGGATATTGAAAAAGAAGGGTAAAGATCAGAAGGTAGTTGAAGAGGTCACAGTCGAAGAGGTCGGTAAAGTTCCGGTGAAGAGCATGACTGAGAAACCTCTCGAGGAGATTCCTGTCTTAGAGTATCCTGAAGAAGAGCACGCAATTCCCACAGAGGAAGTTCGCGAACAAGTTACTGTCACTCGCCAGGTAACTGCCGAAGGAAAACCAAAGAAAGTTACCAAGAAACTCATCACCAGAAAGAGAGGCAAAAAACAACAAGTAACTGAAGAAACAGTTGTCGAAGAGGAAGGCAAAGCCCCAGTTGTTACAGTAACGGAACAGCCTATGGAAGAGGTACTTCCTGAGGAAGATATGGAAGCTCTTCCTGCCCCGGAAGAAGTGACACCAACAACTGTTGAGGAAGTCAGAGAGCAAGTTACGGTAACGGAAGAAGTCACTGAGGAGGGTAAACCACGCAAGATCGTTAAAAGGAAGATCACGAAGAAACGCGGTAAGAAACAACAGGTTACTGAGGAAGTGACTGTTGAAGAAGAAGGTAAACCCGCTGTCACTTCCGTGACTGAAATACCTGAAGAGGACATTCCTGAAAGAGATGAACCGAAAGTCGTTGAAGAGATTCGCGAAGAGGTCAAGGTTCAAGAAGAAGTCACATCTGAAGGAAAACCAAAGAGAATCGTCAAAAAGAAGGTGACTAAGACTCGAGGAAAGAAACAACAAGTAACTGAAGAAGTCACAGTGATGGAAGAAGGCAAAGCTCCAATTACGATTATTAGCGAAAAACCGGTGGAAGAGATTGTTGATGAAGAGCCTATCGAGTACTTCCCTGCCACCGAGGAGCAACAAGCGGTTCCCGTAGAAGAGGTACAGGAACGAATCAGTGTTACTGAAGAGGTAACTCATGAAGGAAAACCTAAGAAAGTGGTTAAGAAGCGCATAACTAGGAAAAGCGGAAAGAAACAGCAAGTTACTGAAGAGATCACCGTTGAAGAAGAAGGAAAGGCGCCAGTTAAGAGTGTAATTGAGAAACCTGTTGAAGAAATCGTTTTTGATGAAACCACTTCACCATTACCAGCTCTGGAGTATAAGACACCTTCGGAAGTTGAAGAAGTTCGTGAACAGATCACTGTTACTGAGGAGGTCACGCCTGAAGGAAAACCGAGGAAGACTGTTAAGAAGCGCATCACAAAGAAGAAGGGTGATAAACAACAGGTCGTTGAGGAAAGTACCGTTGAAGAAGAAGGAAAGGCTCCAGTTACCACGGTCACTGAAGAACCAGTCGAAGAAATTCTCTTTGAGGAAACCATCAAGCCTCTGCCAATTGAAGAGGATAAACCGGAAGTTGTGGAAGAGACCTCTGAAACTAAAGTGACAGAAGAAGTCACTCCTGAAGGCAAGCCTAAGAAGATCACGAAAAAGCGAGTTGTAAAAAAGAAAGGAAAGATTCAACAAGTTACTGAAGAGACCACTGTTGAAGAAGAAGGCAAAGCACCCGTTACGACAGTCATTGAAGAGCCGATAAAACCAATTGAACCGGTTCCTGAAGACAAAGTCAAGACCAAGAAGGTCGTGAAACGCCCGAAGAAGACACCCAAGACACCAGAGGAAGTTGAGAATCTTGAGGCGCTCAAAAAGAAACTGAAACCGCAATTGGTGAAACTCGAGATGACTGAAGTGAAACCAACAAAATTCACGCAATTCCCACAGAGGAAGTTCGCGAACAAGTTACTGTCACTCGCCAGGTAACTGCCGAAGGAAAACCAAAGAAAGTTACCAAGAAACTCATCACCAGAAAGAGAGGCAAAAAACAACAAGTAACTGAAGAAACAGTTGTCGAAGAGGAAGGCAAAGCCCCAGTTGTTACAGTAACGGAACAGCCTATGGAAGAGGTACTTCCTGAGGAAGATATGGAAGCTCTTCCTGCCCCGGAAGAAGTGACACCAACAACTGTTGAGGAAGTCAGAGAGCAAGTTACGGTAACGGAAGAAGTCACTGAGGAGGGTAAACCACGCAAGATCGTTAAAAGGAAGATCACGAAGAAACGCGGTAAGAAACAACAGGTTACTGAGGAAGTGACTGTTGAAGAAGAAGGTAAACCCGCTGTCACTTCCGTGACTGAAATACCTGAAGAGGACATTCCTGAAAGAGATGAACCGAAAGTCGTTGAAGAGATTCGCGAAGAGGTCAAGGTTCAAGAAGAAGTCACATCTGAAGGAAAACCAAAGAGAATCGTCAAAAAGAAGGTGACTAAGACTCGAGGAAAGAAACAACAAGTAACTGAAGAAGTCACAGTGATGGAAGAAGGCAAAGCTCCAATTACGATTATTAGCGAAAAACCGGTGGAAGAGATTGTTGATGAAGAGCCTATCGAGTACTTCCCTGCCACCGAGGAGCAACAAGCGGTTCCCGTAGAAGAGGTACAGGAACGAATCAGTGTTACTGAAGAGGTAACTCATGAAGGAAAACCTAAGAAAGTGGTTAAGAAGCGCATAACTAGGAAAAGCGGAAAGAAACAGCAAGTTACTGAAGAGATCACCGTTGAAGAAGAAGGAAAGGCGCCAGTTAAGAGTGTAATTGAGAAACCTGTTGAAGAAATCGTTTTTGATGAAACCACTTCACCATTACCAGCTCTGGAGTATAAGACACCTTCGGAAGTTGAAGAAGTTCGTGAACAGATCACTGTTACTGAGGAGGTCACGCCTGAAGGAAAACCGAGGAAGACTGTTAAGAAGCGCATCACAAAGAAGAAGGGTGATAAACAACAGGTCGTTGAGGAAAGTACCGTTGAAGAAGAAGGAAAGGCTCCAGTTACCACGGTCACTGAAGAACCAGTCGAAGAAATTCTCTTTGAGGAAACCATCAAGCCTCTGCCAATTGAAGAGGATAAACCGGAAGTTGTGGAAGAGACCTCTGAAACTAAAGTGACAGAAGAAGTCACTCCTGAAGGGAAGCCTAAGAAGATCACGAAAAAGCGAGTTGTAAAAAAGAAAGGAAAGATTCAACAAGTTACTGAAGAGACCACTGTTGAAGAAGAAGGCAAAGCACCCGTTACGACAGTCATTGAAGAGCCGATAAAACCAATTGAACCGGTTCCTGAAGACAAAGTCAAGACCAAGAAGGTCGTGAAACGCCCGAAGAAGACACCCAAGACACCAGAGGAAGTTGAGAATCTTGAGGCGCTCAAAAAGAAACTGAAACCGCAATTGGTGAAACTCGAGATGACTGAAGTGAAACCAACAAAATTAAAGGTCGACCAACCTGATAAACCACAATTCGGTCAGATTAAGTTGAAGAAGGCTCCACTTGTTAAACGTAAGGATGGTAAGAAGGACAAATTCCCAAAAGTAATACTACGAAGTCGGATTACGTTCTTCGACTGGCCACCTGGTGAGCGAAAACCCAAAATATCCTTCATCGAACCGAACGAGGTTCAAAATGGAATTCTTTCTCGAAACGTAGAAGATGCTCTTAAATTAAAGAAAATTAAGAAGAGAAAGACAAAACTTCCTGAGAAAGAGGTGCCTGATCTCGAAAAGTTAGACCAGGAATTCGAAGAACTAAAGAAGGTGCCGCTGGAGAAAATCGAAGACAAATCGGTTTATGAGCGACAACCAAAACCTAAAAAGCCAGAAGAGACTGAACCAGAGAAACTTAAGATCGGCAAAGGTAAGGTTCCGAAACAGGAGGAAAAAGAGCCCGAGAAAGTGAGCCTCAAAAAGATTCCCAAGAAAGAAGGCGAGGAACCAGAAGAGCTAAAACCAGTTCCTAAGAAGAAGGAGAAACCAGAAAAGGTTAAAAAGATTTCAGAAGATAAGGAACAGCCCAAACTTGCGCCATTCGAACCACACGATATTGAGTTCACTGAACCCGAAAGGGAGGAAAGGGAACCCTTGGAATATCCTGATGAGGAGGAACAGAAACCTGAAACTCCAGCTAAAAAGAAGCCTACGAAGAAGGTGAAGAAACCAGTCCAAGATACTGAAGCAACTCAAATCGTTCCTGGTATTCCAAAGAAACCAGAAGAAGAGGAGAAACCTGATCTGAAGTTGAAATATCGTCAAGGTGAAATACCTGAGGAGAAACCCGAGGGTATTAAATTGAAACCTTGGAAAAAGCCAAAAGATACCAAGGAAGAGAAAAAACCACACGATGATACTCTTAAATTTATTCCATCTGACCAAGATGAGATCCCAGACTCCGTGGAAATTATAACAACTGAACATATTGAGGAGACTCCAGATAAGAAACATAAAAAGGTTACGAAAAAGCACATTCTCAAAAAGAAAGGAAAGAAGCAACAAGTGGTTGAAGAAACAACCGTTGAGGAGGACGGAAAGGAACCAGTCACAACCGTTACTGAAGAACCAGTTGAAGAAATTGTATCTGAGAAGACAATAGTACCAAGACCTGTTGAGGAGGCTGAAGTTCCAGAAGATGTCGAAATTCGTGAACAAGTTACTGTTACCGAAGTTACACCAGAGGATGGTAAACCAAAGAAAATCACAAAGAAAAAGATCGCTGTGAAACGCGGTAAGAAACGAACAGTCACGGTCGAAGAAACGGTTGAAGAAGAAGGAAGCGCTCCGATTACTACAGTGACTGAATTACCTACAGAGGAAGTAATCGAAGAGGAGACTTACACGCCCTTACCGATTACCGAAGAATTTAAACCGACCGTCGAGGAAGTGACCGAGCAAGTGACTGTAACCGAAGAAGTTACGCCCGAAGGTATTCCAAAGAAAATTACTAAGAAACGGATATTGAAAAAGAAGGGTAAAGATCAGAAGGTAGTTGAAGAGGTCACAGTCGAAGAGGTCGGTAAAGTTCCGGTGAAGAGCATGACTGAGAAACCTCTCGAGGAGATTCCTGTCTTAGAGTATCCTGAAGAAGAGCACGCAATTCCCACAGAGGAAGTTCGCGAACAAGTTACTGTCACTCGCCAGGTAACTGCCGAAGGAAAACCAAAGAAAGTTACCAAGAAACTCATCACCAGAAAGAGAGGCAAAAAACAACAAGTAACTGAAGAAACAGTTGTCGAAGAGGAAGGCAAAGCCCCAGTTGTTACAGTAACGGAACAGCCTATGGAAGAGGTACTTCCTGAGGAAGATATGGAAGCTCTTCCTGCCCCGGAAGAAGTGACACCAACAACTGTTGAGGAAGTCAGAGAGCAAGTTACGGTAACGGAAGAAGTCACTGAGGAGGGTAAACCACGCAAGATCGTTAAAAGGAAGATCACGAAGAAACGCGGTAAGAAACAACAGGTTACTGAGGAAGTGACTGTTGAAGAAGAAGGTAAACCCGCTGTCACTTCCGTGACTGAAATACCTGAAGAGGACATTCCTGAAAGAGATGAACCGAAAGTCGTTGAAGAGATTCGCGAAGAGGTCAAGGTTCAAGAAGAAGTCACATCTGAAGGAAAACCAAAGAGAATCGTCAAAAAGAAGGTGACTAAGACTCGAGGAAAGAAACAACAAGTAACTGAAGAAGTCACAGTGATGGAAGAAGGCAAAGCTCCAATTACGATTATTAGCGAAAAACCGGTGGAAGAGATTGTTGATGAAGAGCCTATCGAGTACTTCCCTGCCACCGAGGAGCAACAAGCGGTTCCCGTAGAAGAGGTACAGGAACGAATCAGTGTTACTGAAGAGGTAACTCATGAAGGAAAACCTAAGAAAGTGGTTAAGAAGCGCATAACTAGGAAAAGCGGAAAGAAACAGCAAGTTACTGAAGAGATCACCGTTGAAGAAGAAGGAAAGGCGCCAGTTAAGAGTGTAATTGAGAAACCTCTCGAGGAGATTCCTGTCTTAGAGTATCCTGAAGAAGAGCACGCAATTCCCACAGAGGAAGTTCGCGAACAAGTTACTGTCACTCGCCAGGTAACTGCCGAAGGAAAACCAAAGAAAGTTACCAAGAAACTCATCACCAGAAAGAGAGGCAAAAAACAACAAGTAACTGAAGAAACAGTTGTCGAAGAGGAAGGCAAAGCCCCAGTTGTTACAGTAACGGAACAGCCTATGGAAGAGGTACTTCCTGAGGAAGATATGGAAGCTCTTCCTGCCCCGGAAGAAGTGACACCAACAACTGTTGAGGAAGTCAGAGAGCAAGTTACGGTAACGGAAGAAGTCACTGAGGAGGGTAAACCACGCAAGATCGTTAAAAGGAAGATCACGAAGAAACGCGGTAAGAAACAACAGGTTACTGAGGAAGTGACTGTTGAAGAAGAAGGTAAACCCGCTGTCACTTCCGTGACTGAAATACCTGAAGAGGACATTCCTGAAAGAGATGAACCGAAAGTCGTTGAAGAGATTCGCGAAGAGGTCAAGGTTCAAGAAGAAGTCACATCTGAAGGAAAACCAAAGAGAATCGTCAAAAAGAAGGTGACTAAGACTCGAGGAAAGAAACAACAAGTAACTGAAGAAGTCACAGTGATGGAAGAAGGCAAAGCTCCAATTACGATTATTAGCGAAAAACCGGTGGAAGAGATTGTTGATGAAGAGCCTATCGAGTACTTCCCTGCCACCGAGGAGCAACAAGCGGTTCCCGTAGAAGAGGTACAGGAACGAATCAGTGTTACTGAAGAGGTAACTCATGAAGGAAAACCTAAGAAAGTGGTTAAGAAGCGCATAACTAGGAAAAGCGGAAAGAAACAGCAAGTTACTGAAGAGATCACCGTTGAAGAAGAAGGAAAGGCGCCAGTTAAGAGTGTAATTGAGAAACCTCTCGAGGAGATTCCTGTCTTAGAGTATCCTGAAGAAGAGCACGCAATTCCCACAGAGGAAGTTCGCGAACAAGTTACTGTCACTCGCCAGGTAACTGCCGAAGGAAAACCAAAGAAAGTTACCAAGAAACTCATCACCAGAAAGAGAGGCAAAAAACAACAAGTAACTGAAGAAACAGTTGTCGAAGAGGAAGGCAAAGCCCCAGTTGTTACAGTAACGGAACAGCCTATGGAAGAGGTACTTCCTGAGGAAGATATGGAAGCTCTTCCTGCCCCGGAAGAAGTGACACCAACAACTGTTGAGGAAGTCAGAGAGCAAGTTACGGTAACGGAAGAAGTCACTGAGGAGGGTAAACCACGCAAGATCGTTAAAAGGAAGATCACGAAGAAACGCGGTAAGAAACAACAGGTTACTGACATTAAACTGAAACCTTGGAAAAAGCCTGGCGGTCAAGAGGACAAGGATGCGCAGCCTGAGGATGAAATCAAATTTATTCCTAAGGATGATGACGTTGCTGAAACAGTGGACACAATTGTCACTGAACAAATAGAAGAAACTCCAGATAAGAAACAAAAGAAAATTATCAAGAAGAAGATAGTTAAGAGAAAAGGAAAAGAAAAGCCTAAGATTACTGAAGAAGTAACTGTAGAAGAGGATGATAAGGAGCCTGTGACAACAATTACTGAACTTCCTGCCGAGCAAACCATCGAGGATGAAACAACCGAACCAATTCCTGAATTGCTAGAGAAGCAAGAGCCAACTGTGGTTGAAGAGGTGCGCGAGGAAATTAAGGTTACGGAAGAAGTAACTGAGGAAGGTATACCTAAAAAGGTAACGAAGAAAAAGATTGTCAAAAAACGCGGCAAGGACAAGAAGGTTACTCAAGAAGTTACTGTTGAGGAAGAAGGTAAAGAACCCGTTACGACAGTTACTGAAGAGCCACTGCCAGAATTTGATGATCTGCCGGAGATCGAAGATTACAAGCCATTGCCAATTCCTGAAGCAAAGACAAAATCCAAGAAGGTACCCAAGAAGAAGCAGCGTAAACCAATTGAGAAAACACCAGAAGAACTGGAAAATATTGAAGCGATCAAAAAGAAGCTAAGACCACAGTTGATGAAGATCGAAATAACAGAGCAAAAACCAATGAAACTGAAGATCGGGGAGCCGGAAACTCCGACGTTTGCCAAAATAAAATTGAAAAAGGCACCAATTTCTCGTAAACCAAAGGATAAAGACGAGAAGGATAAATTCCCGAAGGTCTTACTTCGTAGCAGGATCGTCCACCATGAATGGCCGCCAGGCATGAAATACCCTGCAATATCCTTCATAGAACCAAACTACATTCAAAATGGTATACTTTCACGTAATATGGAGGATGCACTAAAATTGAAGAAGATCAAACGCAAGAAGACCAAACCTACAGATAAGGAGTTGACTGATTTAGAAAAACTGGATTTGGAGTTTGAAGATTTGAAGAAGACTCCTCTTGAACAGGTCGAAGATAAATCTATATATGAGCGCCAACCCAAACCCAAGAAACCCAAAGAGGAAGAACCGGAGAAGTTGAAAATAGGTAAAGGCAAGGTGCCTCCTAAGGAGGAGCCCGAAGAAGAAAAGGTTAAACTAAAGAAAATCCCAACTAAGAAGCCCGATGAACCCGAAGAGGTTGAACGTATCCCGAAAAAGAAGGAGAAACCAGAGAAAAAGAAGGAACCGAAGGAAGAAAAGGAGTATCCCGAACTTCCTGGTTTCGAGCCCTACGAAATAAAATCAGAAGAACCAGAACTTGAAGAGAGGGAACCTTTGGAATTCCCCAAGGACGAAAAGTCACCCTCAGAAAAGCCCTCGAAGAAGAAGCCCAAAACGAAACCAAAGAAACCGGAACAGGAAGGTGAGTCCATTCCAATCGTTCCGGGCGTGCCCAAAAAAGAAGAGCCTGAAGAAGAACCCGAAAAGAAATTCCGAATTCCTCATCGCGATAAGCCCGAAGAACAGCCCGAAGAAATAAAACTGAAACCATGGAAAAAGCCCGATGAACCTCTTGAAGAGGACAAGAAGCCCCACGATACGATCAAGTTCGTACCAAAGGACGAAGATATAGTAGAGACGGTTGAGACAATCACAACCGAAGAAATTGAAGAGACTGATGATAAGAAACCCAAGAAAATCGTGAAAAAGATAATCAAAAAGCGTGGCAAAGAAAAGCCACGTGTCACGAAAGAAGTGACGGTTGTCGAAGAGGGCGTTGAGCCCGTGACGACCGTCACTGTTGAAGATGTTGATGAAGATAAATTGGAACCTCTTCCGGAAGAGAAACCGGAAGAACTACGACCGAATGTTGTAGAAGAAGTGCGAGAAGAAGTAACAGTGTCGGAAGTTGTGACAGAAGAAGGAAAGCCAATCAAGATACAGAAGAAAAGAACAGTGAAGAGGCGCGGCGGTAAGGAAGAAGTTCGTGAAGAGGTAACAGTTGAAGAAGAAGGTAAAGAGCCGGTTACGACGATAACCGAACTTCCTGAAGACATTACACCAAAAATACACAAAAAACCCAAACACAAAAAACCAACACAACCCACTGACGATGAACAGGTGCCAGAAGGTAAGATCACTTGAATACTATTACATCTAGAATACTCCACTTACTCTTATTTCCATTACTCTCACTATATATATTATACGTGACCTCTTTCGCAGCCGCGATATTCACATGTTCATTGATATATTGATCTACAACTCAACGATCGATGAATACATATAGACATACGAAGACATGACATTCCGACATTTATCAGTATCACTTTAAGTTAACCGTTACTAACTACCACAGCATCATTATATGCTGATTTAAATACTCTCATGTATTCCTTATTTTCTTACCTGCGTGTAAGTAGCGTCACGCAGATTTCCAATTTAATAGAAATTATTGTTCACCTGCATAAGACAACCTTTTATAATATGTAATTTCATTCCATACTCACTATACGAAAACTGTAATGTATTTCTTGACCAATAATCTAAGTTTTTGTATCACGTAAATATCCTATAGTGTTGCAACATGCATGTTATTTCATTTATAAGCTTTTCAGGAAAGGAATTGATATTAAAAAAATTCAAAAAACGTTAAATATTCAATCATATTTCTTACCTTCATGATAAGCACAGAAACTGTCGCGAGTCATTATTCTGTAACAAAAAAGAAAACGAACGAGGTTAAACGAAAAATGACAAAAATCGAAACATTATAAAAATTTAAAAGATCTCGAGAATTACATGCATATTATTAATTTTTATAAAATACAATTGTTATTGATAAAAACTAATTTCAAATTGCGGTTTTGCAGGTGTCCTGGAGGAAACTGTGCAAGAGGTATGTAACTTTAGTAAATAACACATTTATCAAATATTTGATGTGCGCTAATGCCTTTAAAAATTTCCAACAGGAAGTTATCGAAGAAGTCGTCGAAGAAATACCTGGAAGAAAGATCACAAAGAAGAAGAAGATAAAGCCGGTGAAGGATGAGGTTACGGAGGAGGTTGTCGAAGAAATTGTCACAGAAGAAGTAATTCCGGAGGAAGCAAAACCTGTCATAGAAGAAGAGGAAATCGTCGAAATTGTCGAAACGCCTACGCAAAAAATCGTCAAGAAGAAAAAGAAACCAGTCAAGAAAGATGAACCTGAAGAAATAGTGGAAGAAGTCATTGAGAAGCCCATCGAAGAGACAATTGCCATGGAGGAGCAGGAAATAGTTGAAATCGTGGAAACACCAACAAAGAAAATTATCAAGAAGAAAAAGGCAGTCACTCGTGACGATGGGGTGCCTGAAGAGGTCATTGAAGAAATAGTCATTAAAAAGCCAAAGAAAGAAAAGGCAAAGCCTGTCGTAGAGGAAGAGGAAATTGTGAAAGTAACTGAAATCGATGTTAAAAAGGCTCCGGAGAAGAAACCCAAGGAAGAAGTGGTAGAAGAGGAGGAGATTATAGAAACTGTGGAAACGCCAAAGAAAAAGATCTTAAAGATAAAGAAGAAGCCTACCAAGAAGGGCGAGCCTGAAGAAATCGTGGAACAAGTCATCGAGAAGCCTATCGAAGAGTCAAGTGTGATGGAAGAACAACAAATTGTTGAAATAACAGAAACACCGACAAAGAAAGTCATTAAGAAAAAGAAGACCATTACGAGGGATGATGGTGTACCGGAGGAAGTCGTCGAAGAGATCGTCATTGAGAAGCCAAAGAAAGAAAAAGCCAAGCCAATAGTTGAAGAAGAGGAGACAGTAAAGATAACTGAAGTTGATGTGAAGAAGGCACCTGAAAAGAAGCCAAAGAAGAAGATGGTCGTAGAAGAAGAAGAAGAAGTGATCGAAACCATAGAAACTCCCACGAAAAAGATCATTAGGAAAAAGAAGCCAGTAAAGAAAGATGAACCTGAGGAAATAATCGAAGAAGTAATTCAGAAGCCTATAGAAGAGACTACGGTAATGGAGGAGCAACAGATTGTTGAAATTGTTGAAACTCCAACGAAGAAGGTGATTAAGAAGAAGAAAGCAATAGTCAGAGATGACGGCGTGCCTGAGGAGGTCATCGAAGAAATTATCATTAAAAAACCAAAGAAGGAAAAGGCTAAGCCTATCGTGGACGAGGAAGAAACGGTGGAGATTACCGAAGTCGAAGTGAAAGAAGCGCCCGAAGAGACGGTTGAAGAAGAAATTATTGAGACAATAGAAACGCCCACAAAGAAAATTACAAAGAAAAAGATAAAGCCAGCGAAGAAAGATGCACCGGAAGAAATTGTTGAGGAAATAATCGAAAAGCCCGTTGAAGAAGTCACTGTTATGGAAGAACAACAGATTGTTGAAATCACCGAGACTCCAACGAAAAAAGTCATCAAAAAGAAGAAGGCTGTTACTCGAGATGATGGTGTACCTGAAGAAGTTATTGAAGAAATTGTCATTAAGAAACCAAAGAAGGAAAAAGCCAAACCCATCGTTGATGAACAGGAGACAATTAAAATCACCGAAGTGGATGTTCAGGAAGCTCCGGAAGAAAAACCAGAGGAGGTTATCGAAGAGGAGGAAATCATTGAAACCATTGAAACACCCACAAAGAAGATTACCAAAAAGATAAAGAAACCAACCAAAAAGGATGCTCCTAAAGAAATAGTCGAAGAAATCATCGAAAAGCCTGTAGAAGAAACAAAGGTTATGGAAGAACAACAAATTGTTGAAATCATCGAGACGCCAACGAAAAAAGTCATCAAAAAGAAGAAGGCTGTTACAAGGGATGATGGTGTACCTGAAGAGGTTATTGAAGAAATTGTCATTAAGAAACCAAAGAAGGAAAAAGCCAAACCCATCGTTGATGAACAAGAGACAATTAAAATCACCGAAGTGGATGTTCAGGAAGCTCCGGAAGAAAAACCGGAGGAGGTTATCGAAGAGGAGGAAATCATTGAAACCATTGAAACACCCACAAAGAAGATTACCAAAAAGATAAAGAAACCAACCAAAAAGGATGCTCCTAAAGAAATAGTCGAAGAAATCATCGAAAAGCCTGTAGAAGAAACAAAGGTTATGGAAGAACAACAAATTGTTGAAATCATCGAGACGCCAACGAAAAAAGTCATCAAAAAGAAGAAGGCTGTTACAAGGGATGATGGAGTGCCTGAAGAAGTGGTAGAAGAAATTGTCATTGAGAAACCAAAGAAAGTGAAAGCCAAGAAGGATGTTGTTCCTACAGAAGGCATCGAAACAACCGAAGTCATTACTGGTAGTACAACAGAGGAGCTTCCTAAGAAGAAGAAACCTAAAGCAGAAGAAGCCGTACCAGTTCAAGAGGAGGATGAGAAGGTTGAAATTACGGAGGTTTCGGTCAAAAAGGCACCTAAGAAAACGAAGAAGGGTATTCCTGCAGAGGAAGAACAACCAGAAGAAGTTGTTGAAGTAATTAAACCTGTGAAGCCTAAGAAAGAAAAGGCTAAGAAGGATGTAATTACCAAGGAAAGTATTGAGACCACTGAAGTTATTACTGAAACAGCTACGGAAGAGCTTCCAGAAGACAAAAAACCTGAAGAGGGAGAAGCAGTGCCTGTTGAAGAAAAGGAAGAGAAGGCTGCAGTTACTGAAGTTTCTGTAAAGAGGGCGCCTAAGAAGAAGAAGAAGGCTACGACTACAGAAGAAGAACAACCCGAAGAAGTGGTTGAAGAAATAACTCCTGAGAAACCAAAGAAAGAGAAGGCCAAGAAAGATGTTATTCCAAAGGAGAGCATTGAAACTACTGAAGTTGTAACTGGAACAACCACAGAAGATCTTCCTAAAGACAAGAAACCTGACAAAGAAGAGGCCAAGCCTGTGGAAGAAGAAGAAGAGAAAGTCAAGATTACTGAGGTTCCTGTGAAGAAAGCACTTAAGAAAAAGAAGAAGGCTACAACTACAGAAGAGGAACAACCCGAAGAAGAGGTTGAAGAAATAATTCCAGAGAAACCGAAGAAAGAAAAGGCCAAGAAAGATGTTATTCCGAAGGAGAGTATCGAAACAACTGAAGTTGTAACTGAAACAACTACAGAAGAACTTCTTGAAGACAAGAAACCGAAGGAAGAGGAGGCTAAACATGTAGACGAAGAAGAAGAAAAAGTTCAAATTACTGAGGTGCCCGTAAAGAAAGCACCTAAAAAGAAGAAGAAGGCTACCCCAACTGAAGAAGAACAACCAGAAGAAGTGGTTGAAGAAATTATAACTGAGAAACCTAAAAAAGAAAAAGCTAAGAAAGATATTATTCCTAAGGAAAGCATTGAAACCACTGAAGTCATTACCGAAACAACTACGGAAGAACTTCCTAAGGATAAGAAACCTCAAGAGGAAGAAGCGGTGCCTGTAGAAGAAGAAGAAGAGAAAGTTGAAACTTCAGAAGTGCCAGTTAAGAAGGCACCGAAGAAAAAGAAGAAGGCCACTCCTGCAGAGGAGGAACAACCGGAGGAAGTTGTTGAGGAAATCGTAAGTGAGAAGCCCAAGAAAGAGAGGGCTAAGAAAGACATTATTCCTAAAGAGAGCATTGAAACCACTGAAGTTGTTACCGAAACAACTACGGAAGAACTTCCTAAGGATAAGAAACCTCAAGAGGAAGAAGCGGTGCCTGTAGAAGAAGAAGAAGAGAAAGTTGAAACTTCAGAAGTGCCAGTTAAGAAGGCACCGAAGAAAAAGAAGAAGGCCACTCCTGCAGAGGAGGAACAACCGGAGGAAGTTGTTGCATACCCGTAGAAGAAGAGGAAGACAAGGTTAAAATCTCGGAAGTGCCAGTTAAGAAAGCACCTAAAAAGAAGAAGAAGGCCACTTCCGCCGAAGAAGAGCAACCAGAGGAAGTTGTTGAGGAAATCGCAACTGAGAAGCCCAAGAACGAGAAGGCTAAGAAAGATATTATTCCTAAAGAAAGCATTGAAACCACTGAAGTGTTTACCGAAACAATTACGGAAGAACTTCCTAAGGATAAGAAGCCTAAAGAGGAAGAAGCCGTGCCTGTAGAAGAAGAGGAAGAGAAGGTTGAAATTTCGGAAGTGTCAGTTAAGAAGGCACTGAAGAAAAAGAAGAAAGCCACTCCTGCAGAGGAGGAACAACCAGAGGAAGTTGTTGAGGAGATCACAACTGAGAAACCTAAGAAAGAAAAAGCCAAAAAGGAAATTATTCCCAAGGAAAGTATCGAGACTACTGAGGTGATCACTGAAACAACTACTGAAGAAATCCCTGAGGAAAAACCGAAAGAAGAAGAAGCTGTTCCGGTCGAAGAAGAAGAAGAGAAAGCTGATGTCACTGAAGTTCAAGTAAAGAAGGCATTCAAGAAAAAGAAGGCTACTCCTTCAGAGGAAAAACAACCAAGAACTTCCTAAGGATGAGAAGCCTCAAGAGGAGGAAGCTGTACCTGTAGAAGAAGAGGAAGAGAAGGTTCAAATTTCGGAAGTGCCAGTTAAAAAGGCACCTAAAAAGAAGAAGAAGGCCATTTCCGCTGAAGAAGAGCAACCAGAGGAAGTTGTTGAGGAAATCGCAACTGAGAAGCCCAAGAACGAGAAGGCTAAGAAAGACATTATTCCTAAAGAGAGCATTGAAACCACTGAAGTTGTTACCGAAACAACTACGGAAGAACTTCCTAAGGATGAGAAGCCTCAAGAGGAGGAAGCTGTACCTGTAGAAGAAGAGGAAGAGAAGGTTCAAATTTCGGAAGTGCCAGTTAAAAAGGCACCTAAAAAGAAGAAGAAGGCCATTTCCGCTGAAGAAGAGCAACCAGAGGAAGTTGTTGAGGAAATCGCAACTGAGAAGCCCAAGAACGAGAAGGCTAAGAAAGATATTATTCCTAAAGAAAGCATTGAAACCACTGAAGTGTTTACCGAAACAATTACGGAAGAACTTCCTAAGGATAAGAAGCCTAAAGAGGAAGAAGCCGTGCCTGTAGAAGAAGAGGAAGAGAAGGTTGAAATTTCGGAAGTGTCAGTTAAGAAGGCACTGAAGAAAAAGAAGAAAGCCACTCCTGCAGAGGAGGAACAACCAGAGGAAGTTGTTGAGGAGATCACAACTGAGAAACCTAAGAAAGAAAAAGCCAAAAAGGAAATTATTCCCAAGGAAAGTATCGAGACTACTGAGGTGATCACTGAAACAACTACTGAAGAAATCCCTGAGGAAAAACCGAAAGAAGAAGAAGCTGTTCCGGTCGAAGAAGAAGAAGAGAAAGCTGATGTCACTGAAGTTCAAGTAAAGAAGGCATTCAAGAAAAAGAAGGCTACTCCTTCAGAGGAAAAACAACCAGAGGAAGTTGTTGAGGAGATCATACCTGAAAAACCGAAAAAGGTGAAAGCCAAGAAAGACATTATTCCGAAGGAAAATCTCGAAACGACAGAAGTGGTGGCTGATAGCACCACCGAACAACTGCCGGAAGAAGAAAGACCAGAAGAAGAGGAAGCTATACCTATCGAAGAGAAGGAAGAAAAGGCTGAAGTTACGGAAGTTCCTGTGAAGAAAGCACCTAAGAAGAAGAAGTCTATCTCAATAGAAGAACAGAAACCTGAAGAAGCTGTACCCGAAGAACAGAAAGTAGAGAAACCCGAAGAAAAAGAAAAACCCGAAGAAGAAAAGAAGGTGGAGGATGTTCCTCAAGGACAAACAACTGAAAAGGTTCCCAAGAAGAAGGTTAAGAAAATCAAGAAGGCTCCAGCCAAAAAAGATGAAATTGAAGAATGGGTTGAACCGGAATACGAGAGACCAGTCTTAGAACCAATGCCAGAAAAGATTCAGTGGGAACCATCGAAGAAAAAGAAGGAAAAGAAACCACTTCCTGAAGGTTTGCAAAAGTTGGTACCGCAAAAAATCGAAAGGAAAGAAATGAAAGCCACCAAATTGAAGTTCTCGCAACCAGAGGAGGAGGTCCAATTTGGTACCATAAAACTGAAGAAGGCCACTGCCATTAAAAAGAAGGAAGTGAAAACTCCCAAACTTCCTAAAATTCTTTTACGTAGCCGTATTACTTTCGTCGGTGATTATCCGCCTGAATTACAATTGCCGAAAATATCGTATATTGAAGAAAATCCTATTCAAAATGGAATCCTCTCAAGAAATACTGCAGAAGCACTCGAGGTTCTCAAACAGAAGCGCAGGAAGACTAAGCTTCCTAAGAAAGAGACAACTGACTTAGAGAAGCTTGATCAAGAATTCGAAGAGCTGAAAAAGATTCCTCTCGAGGAAATCGAAGATAAGTCAATCTATGAGCGCCAGCCAAAGAAGCCTGAAAAGAAACCAGAAGAACCACAAAAATTGGTTATTGGAAAAGGTAAGGTTCCGGAACAACAGAAGGAGGAGCCCGAAGATATAAAATTAAAGAAGGTTCCAGAGAAAGCACCGGAGGTACAAGAAGAACCAAAGAAAAAACCAATAAAAGAAGAACCGGAGGAAAAAGTACAAGAGAAAAAGAAAACAGAGCCTAAACCAAAACTTGAACATGACGAGTTCAAGCCACTCGATTTTGAGAGACCAGAACTTGAAGAATATGTTCCAGAAGAGTATGAGGAACCTGAAAAACCAAAACCTGAACCTAGCCCGGAACCTTACAAGAAGCAGAAAAAGAAGAAGCCCGATCAAGAGATCGAACAAGTGCCCTTGGTTAAGGGCAAGCCTAAACCAGATGAACCGGAAGAAGAGCCAGATGTCAAATTCAGGATACCCACATCCGAGAAACCTGAAGAGGAGCCTGAAACAATTCTTCTTAAAGGATGGAAGAAAGATAAACCTGAAGACGAAGGTGTTGAAGAGTTTCCAGAAAAGGAGGACGATACTGCTCCTAAAGTACCAAAAGATGATACCGATGAAGTTACAATAAAGAAAAAGAAAAAGACTAAAAAGCCTAAGGAAGAAGTGCCAGAGGAAGTTACACTGAAAAAACCTGCACCTGAGGAACCTGAAAAGCAAGAGCCTGAACAGCAAGTCGAGGAAGTAAGTTTGATGAAGAAACCAAAGAAAGCACCTATCGAAGAAGAGGCGGCAGATGAAGTAACTATTAAAAAACATGTTCCTGAAGAACCTAAAAAGGAGGAAGAACAGATCACAGAACAAGTAACTCTTAAGAAGCGGCCTAAGAAAAAACCTGTTGAGGAAGCAGCTGCAGATGAAGTTACTATCAAGGAACTTGTTCCTGAAGAACCGAAGAAAGAGCCCGAAGAAGTTACAGAGGAAGTCACTCTTAAGAAAAAGCCCAAGAAGAAGCCTGTTGAAGAGGAGGCAGCTGATGAAGTGACTATCAAGAAACTTGTTCCGGAAGAACCCAAGAAAGAGCCCGAAGAAGTTACAGAGGAAGTCACTCTTAAGAAAAAGCCCAAGAAGAAGCCTGTTGAAGAGGAGGCAGCTGATGAAGTGACTATCAAGAAACTTGTTCCGGAAGAACCCAAGAAAGAGCCCGAAGAAGTTACAGAGGAAGTCACTCTTAAGAAAAAGCCCAAGAAGAAGCCTGTTGAAGAGGAGGCAGCTGATGAAGTGACTATCAAGAAACTTGTTCCGGAAGAACCCAAGAAAGAGCCCGAAGAAGTTACAGAGGAAGTCACTCTTAAGAAAAAGCCCAAGAAGAAGCCTGTTGAAGAGGAGGCAGCTGATGAAGTGACTATCAAGAAACTTGTTCCGGAAGAAAGTGACTATCAAGAAACTTGTTCCGGAGGAGGCGGCTGACGAAGTAACTATCAAGAAACTTATTCCGGAGGAACCAAAGAAAGAACTCGAAGAAGTTACAGAGGAAGTCACCGTTAAGAAAAAGCCCAAGAAGAAGCCTGTTGAAGAGGAGGCAGCTGATGAAGTGACTATCAAGAAACTTGTTCCGGAAGAACCCAAGAAAGAGCCTGAAGAAGTTACAGAGGAAGTCACTTTGAAGAAGAAGCCCAAGAAAAAGCCCGTTCCAGAGGAGGCGGCTGACGAAGTAACTATCAAGAAACTTATTCCGGAGGAACCAAAGAAAGAACTCGAAGAAGTTACAGAGGAAGTCACCGTTAAGAAAAAGCCCAAGAAGAAGCCTGTTGAAGAGGAGGCAGCTGACGAAGTGACTATTAAGAAACTTGTTCTGGAGGAACCAAAGAAAGAGCCCGAAGAAGTTACAGAGGAAGTCACTCTTAAGAAAAAGCCCAAGAAGAAGCCTGTTGAAGAGGAGGCAGCTGACGAAGTGACTATTAAGAAACTTGTTCTGGAGGAACCAAAGAAAGAGCCCGAAGAAGTTACAGAGGAAGTCACTCTTAAGAAAAAGCCCAAGAAGAAGCCTGTTGAAGAGGAGGCAGCTGACGAAGTGACTATTAAGAAACTTGTTCTGGAGGAACCAAAGAAAGAGCCCGAAGAAGTTACAGAGGAAGTCACTCTTAAGAAAAAGCCCAAGAAGAAGCCTGTTGAAGAGGAGGCAGCTGATGAAGTGACTATCAAGAAACTTGTTCCGGAAGAACCCAAGAAAGAACCCGAAGAAGTTACAGAGGAAGTCACTTTGAAGAAGAAGCCCAAGAAGAAGCCCGTTGTAGAGGAGGCAGCCGACGAAGTAACTATCAAGAAACTTGTTCCGGAGGAAACAAAGAAAGAGCCCGAAGAAGTTACAGAGGAAGTCACTCTTAAGAAAAAGCCCAAGAAGAAGCCTGTTGTAGAGGAGGCAGCTGACGAAGTGACTATCAAGAAACTTGTTCCGGAGGAACCCAGGGAAGAGCCCGAAGAAGTTACAGAGGAAGTCACTCTTAAGAAAAAGCCCAAGAAGAAGCCTGTTGTAGAGGAGGCAGCTGACGAAGTGACTATCAAGAAACTTGTTCCGGAGGAACCCAGGGAAGAGCCCGAAGAAGTTACAGAGGAAGTCACTCTTAAGAAAAAGCCCAAGAAGAAGCCTGTTGTAGAGGAGGCAGCTGACGAAGTGACTATCAAGAAACTTGTTCCGGAGGAACCCAGGGAAGAGCCCGAAGAAGTTACAGAGGAAGTCACTCTTAAGAAAAAGCCCAAGAAGAAGCCTGTTGTAGAGGAGGCAGCTGACGAAGTGACTATCAAGAAACTTGTTCCGGAGGAACCCAGGGAAGAGCCCGAAGAAGTTACAGAGGAAGTCACTCTTAAGAAAAAGCCCAAGAAGAAGCCTGTTGTAGAGGAGGCAGCTGACGAAGTGACTATCAAGAAACTTGTTCCGGAGGAACCCAGGGAAGAGCCCGAAGAAGTTACAGAGGAAGTCACTTTAAAGAAGAAGCCGAAAAAGAAGCCCGTTGTAGAGGAGGCTGCAGATGAAGTGACCATAAAGAAATTAGTGCCTGAAGAACCTAAAGACGAACCAACAGAGGTTACGGAGGAAGTCACTCTTAAGAAGAAACCAAAGAAAAAGCCAGTGATTGAAGAAGCCGCGGACGAAGTTACAATTAAGAAACTTGTACCGCAAGAGGCTGAAGATGTCACCGAGGAATTTATGATTAAGAGGAAAGCGCCAAAGAAACCAACAGTAACAGAAGAGGTGGAAGAGACTGAATTCACAATAAAGAAAACTCGTAAGCCGGCGGAGCCAACCGAAGAGGAGGAAGTATCTGGCGAAGTAACACTAAAGAGAAAGACAAAGAAGAAGACATTGGACGAAGCTGCTGAAGAGTTAACGATTCGAAGGGTCGAAGAGATCGAGCAACCTGAGGAGGAAGAGATAATCGAAGAGTTTACGTTCAAGAGGAAGCCACCGAAGAAGGCACCTAAACCGATCGAAGAGATTTATGAGGACGTGACCCTTCGAAAACTCCGGCCAAAGAAAAAGCCACGTCCAGACATTAAAGAAGTGACGGAAGTCGAAAATGTGACATTCCGACCTCGTTCCACCAAGACCAAGGAAGATGTCGAGCAGGAATTCAAGATCTCTCTGAATACTTACGAAGAAGAGGATATATCGATGTCCGGAAAGGTTCGCATAAAGCCAAAGAAACGGCCTCTGACATATTCCGAAGAGACAGGAGAGGAAACCATCCGAATCATCCAAGAGATCGAGGATGACGGCGGACCAATTATCGAAGAGATCATAGACGAGTCCGATGAAGAAGGTAGAGACGAGTACAGCATCGAGGAACTCGAAACGGACGAGTTCAACCTACCTCTCCGAAGAAAGACAAAGAAACAACCTCGACCTTACTCCGTGGAGGACTTTGAGGAAGGTGATGTCAGTGTGAAACTAAAGAAGGACCGGAAGTACTCTTACGAAGAAACGGATGAGTCTTTGGCGCTGAAATTGAAATCGAAGAAACGACCCTCTACTTATGATGAAGGTTCGACGTCTTATGTTATAGTTGAACAAAGAGTTAAGCTTATAGCGATGCTTTCAGCTATGATAACAGAGAATAACATGCTTCGTGGCAATGCTTTATTATCAGCTACCTTAACAGTGAGTACAACTGGTGCGAGTACCGAGTACTCGTCTGATTGCTCCCTAACGTACTAGTCGCCATTGAAAAGCATAACGGCCTAAAAGAGTAACACTACTCATAGAAAATCGTTTTCTAACAATTTTTTTAAATGTATGCTATTTTTATCATATATTTTATTGCGACCTGAAGATTCACTCTCTACTGTCTTTTGCAGAAGAAGCTACCCTCAGTATCACCAGAGAAGAAGACATCTCTGAAGAAGGTAATAACTCAATATTCAGGAAACTAATAAAAATATTTATCATGCTAATGTTAATTTTATACTCTTGATACTTCAGAGGAAGCCGAATACATTGTTCGCGATGGCGACCTCATGTTCTCCATTTGTTCCTACGTGGCCGAAACGGACGAGGCCATCAACCTCGTTGAAGGAGAAAAGGTGTACATTATCGGTAAGTCTTAAATTAATATATATTTCATAAAATCGTATTATACAAATGGTTAATGTCAATCTCAATTACAGAGCACACTAATTCCGATTGGTGGTTTGTCAAGAAACATTTGACCGAAGAAAAGGGATGGGTGCCTGCGCAGTATCTTCTAAATGAAGCTCACTACACAATTTATCTTCAACGCAAATTGCACGAGAAGATAGACAAGCTTCCTGTCTTCGAGAGTAAGTTGTTCTTAAAATTAAATACATAGCTATAACATTGATCTTCGATAAGTAACAATTATTTATGTACATTTTTGTTTGCATATCTAGAACCTGGACCTGGAGAGAAAGCATCAGCTCCTCGATTCGTGGAAAAACTTCAACCTATCCATACACCAGATGGTTACACAGTTCAATTCGAATGTCAAGTCGAGGGTGTTCCCAGACCGCAGATCACTTGGTTCCGTCAAACAGCCATCATCAAACCATCGCCAGATTTCCAGATCTATTACGACGATGATAACGTGGCAACACTCATCATCAGGGAAGTTTTCCCTGAAGATGCTGGCACCTTCACCTGCGTCGCCAAGAATGCTGCTGGTTTCGCTTCAAGTACGACAGAACTGATAGTGGAGGCTCCACTGTCGGATCATGGCTCGGACATGACTGGTTTGTCAAGAAAGAGTCTGTCCAGGTACGAATTGAACTTCATTAATTTCCATACAAGCCTATTGTCTTCAGATCATCGTTTATGAAATAAATTTTCATTTCCAGAGAATCTTCGCTTGCCGACATCCTTGAAGGTATTCCACCTACGTTCTCCCGGAAACCCAAAGCCAAGTGCGTGGACGAAGGCGAGGACGTGATCTTGGAATGCAGACTGGTAGCCGTACCGGAACCGGAAATCACTTGGTATTACGAAGAGTCGCAGATCACGACCAAGGAGAACGTTGTCGTTGTCACTGAGAGCGATATGCACATGTACTGCAGCGTGATGAAGATCAGCAAGGTCAAGAAGACTCAAGAAGGCCGGTACAAGATTGTGGCTAAGAACAGAGAAGGTGAAGCCACCATCGAGATTCCAATGAAGGTAAAAATTTTTAAGAAATTACCAGAATAGAAATATTTTTTTAAACGATCATCCTTACCTTTACACTATTATTTGTCTTCTAGGTGAAGACCGGCGAGAAGGAGCCACCAGAAATTCTTGAACCACTGAAACCGTACACAGTTCGCGAAGGAGAGACAGTTGTGCTGACTACTCAGATCATCGGCAACCCCAAACCAAAGATCACCTGGTACAAGAATGGTAAACCGCTGAAGGGTGTACTCACCAAAGAAGATGGTGACCTCAATACACTCACCCTAATTCAACCAGATCTATCAGACACTGGAGAGTATTCCGTGGTTGCTAAGAATGATCTTGGAAAAGCAGAGACCCGAGCAACACTCACCGTTGAAGGTAAAACTTCAATTCATAAACCTAACATGCTCGATGTGAAAATAATGAAATAAGCTTGGCTTTGCAAGATTTGGCCCAAATCGTGCGCTGCTTAACTCGCCTCTTTAATGTGCTTAACTAATATGCATTACAGCTGGCACAAAAGTCAAATCCGCTTTTAGCATAAACATAAACCCAGCGAGAGAAGAAACTTTGGTCACTATTTCGACCACTGTAGTAGCTATAGAATCAGTTAGAGAAATATGTTCAACTACTGTAATAAAAGGTACGACGCTTTATAACTCCTCCCTTGCTGTACGCTTCAATAATATATACGCGTCCCTATCTAACAAAAAATTGTAATTCACTTTATTTTGGCTTAGAAACACCAAGCGGAGCACCAGAACCACCGTTGTTCACGGAACGGTTCCAGGAACTTACTGTTCCCGAAAAGGGTACATTCCAACTTGTGGCCAAAGTCGTTGGTAACCCTGTACCCGAAGTCACCTGGTTGAGGTAAGATCCTGAATACAGATCAGAGCGATATCAAACCTGCAGGATGAAAATTTGAAAATAATTCAACTGAATGATCACTTTTAGGAACAATAAGCCTCTAGAAAAATCGCCCAACATCACAGAAACTTACGATGGCGAGAATATAATCCTGGAGATCAGAAACGCAGACTCCGAAGTGGACGCTGGTGACTACAAGTGCATTGCCAGCAACCCTGTTGGAAAGGCGTCACACGGTGCTAAGGTAACGGTCGACGTGGACAAGGTGACCTTCACGAAGAACCTTGAGAAGAAGGTAATCGTCGACGAGTATAAACCTCTGGAGCTGACCTGCGAGACTTCACATACGGTGTCTACTACCTGGTGGCACAATGACAAGGAGATCAGCGGTATGGATCATCGTGAGGTCATCCAGGAGGGTCGTACCCACAGATTGGTCATCAAGAAGACGAGCACCACGGACGAGGGCACTTATAAGTGCACAGTAAAGAAGCAGAGCACGTCCAGCACCGTTGAGATCAAGGGTAAGGAACAATTCGATGGTCCACGTCTGTGGAATTTAAAGAAACAACGTAAAAATTTCACGTATTATTTATTCTGCAGCCACAAAACCAGAGTTCGTAAGGAAGCTCCAGGACTTCGAGGTCAAGGAACGCGACGTAGCCATCCTCGAAGTAGAGATCACCTCCCAGACAGCAGAGGTCAGCTGGCACAAGGATGGCGAACCGCTGAAGCCTACCAAGGGCAAAGTGGAATTCGTTAAAGATGGCACCATCAGGAAGCTCCTCATCAGAAGCACTTCCGTTCACGATGAGGGAGAGTACACTTGTGCTCTTCTGGATCAAGAATGCACGGCGGAAGTGACAGTGGTGGAGTTGCCACCGGAAATCATCACCAAGATGCAGGACGTGACCATCGCAAAGGGCGAAAAGGCCATGTTTGAGATTGAACTGACCAAGGGTGACGCCCTGGTTCACTGGTTCAAGGACGGACAGGAGTTACAATTCTCTGAACACGTTCAACTGTCCATCGACGGGAAGAGGCAGAAGCTCAAGATTTACAACTCTGAGCTGAAGGATGCTGGAGTCTATTCGTGCCAAGTTGGAGAACAAACATCGAGTGCCAGGTTGACTGTTGAAGAACCTGGTGTTGACTTCATCACCAGACTGCCTGATGTCACTTTGGTACCACTCAACACCGACGCTGTCTTCGTTATCGAACTGTCTCGTCCGAACGTCCCAGTGAAGTGGTTGAAGTACGTAGAAAAAATCATGAAGCTTCACAGAAGAAACTGATACTGCTGATACGAAGGGAACAAATGTTAATTTTTCTTGTATAATTTCGCAGGAAAGGTCAAGAGATCAAGGAGTCACCTAAATACACAATCGTCGATGAAGGTGCTACCAAGAAATTAATTGTCAGAAAGTGTACGGTTGATGACGCTCTGGAATACAGTGCCGTAGCAATGAACGTGAAGACCTCGTCGAAACTGAAAGTGGAATGTAAGTCATTGCTCTGTCATAACTTTTTGATTCTTTCTACGATATTGATAAAATTAACAAAACTAAGACAATCCCTTTATTTCGCAGTGGTGGAGACGCCGCCGAAGATCAGTGTGGATTCGCCCAAACAATACAAGGTCAAGAAGGGCGATGACGTCGATATCACCGTTAAATTTACTGCCACCCCTAAACCAACTGAAGAATGGACTGTGAATGGTCGCGTTGTACCAAAGAGTAAGCGAGTCAGTCCGACGATCGACGAAGAGTCTGCGACGTTGACTATCAAGAAGGTCCAAGAAGAAGACATCGGCGATTACACGTTGAAGTTGACCAATTCCTGTGGCGAGGCTAGCACGGAAATAAATCTCGTGATAATGCGTAAGTCCTAAAAAATGTATACACTGAATTATAATAACGCCAAAGAGTGACATAATCATTGACGAATCAATTTACCATTTTCCAGAGGTACCCAGCGCACCTGGTATTCCAGAACCACTCGAAGTGACTGATGACAGTATCACTCTTCACTGGAAGAAACCAGATTCCGATGGCAACTCGCCCATCATCGAGTACATCATCGAATACCACGACAAGGATGACTTCACGTGAGTGTTAAAAAATATATATATGACTGATAAAAATTTCCAAAAAAAAATAAGCTATATCTATAATTTGATCTTTGCGCTGTGTCGCTAGATGGATAAGAGTCACGGAAAAGATCACTGAGACCACGCACAAGGTGACCAACCTGACGACCAACAAGGAGTACATGTTCCGAGTGATCGCAGTGAACGAAGTAGGACCTAGTGAACCATCACACAACACTCGCTACTTGAAGATCGCCAAACCATCGGCATCCGAACCACCATCCATTCTGGAACCATTGAAGAGTGTTGTAGTAGGACTAAAGGAACCTGTAACACTCTCGTGCGTGATCGGTGGTATTCCAACACCCGAAATCACCTGGTCAGTATCATTGATAATAAGGTCAATTTCAGTAGAACCAAAATTTTGATATTATCTAACCACGGAATTCGCTTGATTTCAGGCTCAAGAATGGCAACCCGTTCAAGAACAATAACATCAGCTACGAAAATCGTATGGCTAAGTACACGATAACGGAAACGACAGAAACATCGGCAGCAACATTCACCGTTAAGGCTAAGAACAACGTCGGAACCGCAGAAACAACATGCGAACTGAAGATTCAGGAACCGCCGAAGATCACGTTCGACGAGAGTCTTGGTACTCAGAAGTTGAACGTGACCAGCCAATGGAAGATAGAGGTCACTGCAACGGGCTTCCCGAAACCGGAAATTACATGGATGAAAAACGGAAAAGCAATTGTGGAAAAGCAGGTTTCTATCTACACGGAGGAGACTACGTCGACAGTAGCGATTTACTCGCTCGTTAGAGAGGATACCGGAACTTACACGGTAACAGCAACCAATGAGGCTGGCAGCACTTCCGTTGAACTCTACCTCAGGGTTATCGGTAGGTATCGTGTGCGTTATATCTTTTAGATTTCATCAGTACTATTTAGTTTTCGATATTTCGCCTTTGCAGATAAACCAAGCAAACCTCAAGGACCCATCGTGATGAAGGACATCAGACAAGACAACTTGACCATCGAATGGAAACCACCAGCGGACGATGGTGGTCTTGAACTCACGAAATATACCATTGAAAAGTGCGAACCTGATAAGATGGTCTGGATGAAGGTTGCTGATGTGGACAAGGACATCGAGTCCTACTGCATTCAAAAGTTACTACAGGATTACGAATACATATTCAGAGTCGTCGCTAAAAATCCTGTCGGATCATCGGAACCACTCGAGTCTGAGCCAATCACGATCAAACCTTCCTTCGGTAAGAATTCTCAAAATAATATCAAAAGCATTTGGAAGACAAAACGATTTTTGACCGAGCTAAATTGCTCTTATTACTTTTTACAGACAAACCAGGACCACCACGAGGTCCACTGGACGTCTCAGGCATGACAAAGACCTCATTTACTATCAAATGGCAGCCACCAGAAAACGACGGAGGGTCTCCTATCACGGAATACATCGTTGAAATAAAGGAGGTCTCAAAGAAGGCTTGGCAAAAGGTGACAAATTTTCAAAAATCAGTCCTTCAATTTTGGCCTTTCTTTTATAATTCGTATATCTAATAAATTTGGTCTATATGCAGATTGGCACAACCAAGGGTGAAACTACAAACATCATTGTGTCTGACCTTAAGACGGACGTATCTTACAACTTTAAAATAACAGCAAAGAACAATGTAGGAGCAGGACCACCATATCTTCCAGAAGAACCAATCACTGCTGGCAAACGTACCAGTAAGTTTCGCTACTGTGATAATCAGAAAATATGTATAAAATTAACGACTATGGCTTATACGATGAATAATAATATAACACTAAAAATACATGGTCCGCTTCTTAACGCTTTGCTTAGCTAACGCTTTTGCTTCTACTCAGAAATTACCAAGCTCACCGAAAGTTCAATGTACGCATTGCTCGGCATTTTTCCAACGACAAAGATCATCATCAGTAAGAGTAAGTGACGCACCTAACCCGCATATCGCTTTACTATCTGGACATTTGAATGACTTCTTCAAACCTCAAAAACATTATTGATTTTCCGTACTAAATTATTTTTCAATCCTAGCACCACCGTCCTGTCCGTTGAACGTGCAGGTAACCGGCGTGACCAGCAGAAGCGTTACTCTGACCTGGTCACCACCTGCCAGCACTGGAGGAACGGAACTGACAGGTAAATCACTTGTCGAATTTTTATCTGATAGTTAAGCAATTTTCTTAATTGTTAAACAATTATCATGCCCTGTCTTTGTAGGCTATGTCATTGAAAAGAGAGCACTGGCCGGAAAGGGTGCCAAATGGACAAAGATTGTAACACTAGATGCCACGACGCATCAATACTGTATCGAGAACCTCAAGGAGAGCGAATTCATGTTTAGAATCTTCGCCGAAAACAGTATGGGACTTTCCACGCCGACAAACTCAGAGCCAGTAACTCTAAAGACTCACGCAAGTACGTGTCCATGAGAATCGGTGACGCTTAATCACGATAGAAGACAGGAGATCAGTGATTGTAAAATTGTTCCTTTTTGTAGCCGTTCCATCCCCACCAACTGCTCCTCTGGAGATAAGGCAGATCGCTGCCAACACCATTGTCATCGAATGGGGCAGACCTGAGACCGACGGTGGCGCCCCCTTGGAGGGTTACAAGATCGCCATCAGAGACATCAAGAAGACCATGTGGATGGAAGTTGGCCGCGTGAATGCGGATATTCAGAAATTGACGATCAGGGATCTTCAGGAGAACCACGAGTATCTGATGAGGATTTTCGCCAGGAACGAAGTGGGTCTCAGTGAGCCGCTGGAATCGGAAGAACCTTTCAAAGTCATCCCAGCTTCTGGTAAAGATTACTCGATTATTGGTCTGATCGATATTTTTATAAAGAAACATCATTTAAATCACTCACGTATTTGATCCACAGAGCTGACGGTGATCGAACCAGTCGCTGAGGCCACTGACAGGGGAGAGACAGCATCCGTGAGCTACAGCACGGAAAACACAAGTTCCTGGCTTCGAGAACACAACATGGATGCGGATATCCATTCGTACGCCAGAGGACGGCTTCTCAGGAAGGACGAATACTTCTTCCGCATTTGGCATTACGCCAAGAAGCTCTTCAAATAAGCATTTCCACGATTCCACTGTATAGACAAATTTTTTTCTTCTTCTACTACTACTACTTCTTTTACAAGGAATACGCATTGCGTCAGGGATTGACTATTCGACTGGATTATCAAAGTAATACGACAGGTATAACCTTCTCCGTCTATAATGATGAATGAATGAGAGAACAAATTCGACGATAACGCAAGTTCTTGTTTTTCTATTTTTTTTTTATTTTGAAAAACAAACTATAGGCTTCTCAGCACAGTTAATCGTATTTTAAAAATAAATAAATTTGATGGCGCGATGAAAAAAATTCGCAACCAGTTCCTTTTAAGAGAATGAGTTTAGCGACTAGATGCTAAAGTTAAGATATATGGATAAGCGTGCACAGCACACCAAATGAGTGTAGAATCTAGTCAGCAAATAGGGAGTGTAAATATTTTTTAACGGACCAAGACTCTCGAGAAAATTTGTTCTGTCGCTCGAAAATGAAGATAGATTCCTTGAAGATTCAATGTATTTATATATATGGCGACAGTTTAAATTTTTGAGGATTTCGTCGAGGCGAAACGCGAATTTCGACGCATATATACAGTCGGTCAATTGAACACAAAGTCAAGTCAATATGTGAAAATAAAACGAGTTGAATTTCGCGCCTCGCCGCGTCGAGGACCTCATGTTAGCGTGGCGTTAATTGCAAAATGAAGAAACGAGAATCTATTTTTTTTTTTACAAAACTGTCTTTCCGAAGAATCCATCTTCATTTTCAGAAGCGACGAGTTTTGCGAACTCAAAGCAATCGCGAATTATATATGAAACGAGAAATGATCCTTTTCCTAAATGTCCTATGAACCCAAACTGAGATTCTTTGAGTGCAAGAGTGCAAATTTTGCTTTAAAAATGAAGACACAACGCGTCGCAAAGATGCCGATCGTTGCGCAATATCTCCCGTTCAAATATTATAAGCGAATCGCCCAAAGTCGAAATCTGATGTAAAAGGTGAAAGACGAATAGCTCGAATTTCGAGCGTTCCTTAAGGACGTCGCGAAGACATACGGGAGTCATGTGATAACCGATTGCTTGTGAAAACACGTGTGTGTTATAATACGGTAATGAAAGAATACCGAATTCTAATTTATTTATATATTGCTTGTAATGATACAGACCCTTATAATTTTTCGTTAAGTGTCTAAGTTTGCGAGGATTATCAATTTTCTTTTTTGTCCATTCTTCTGTCCTTTCATATTTATTATTACCATTAATATTTAGTATCGAATGTATTATTTATTTGTAAAACGACGACACGAAAAAAGCTCGAGAACGTAGAAATGCCACGTTAGGTTGGTACCCCGAGACGTACAAAATATAGGTGCAAAACAAGATCGTGCCATTGACCAACCTCTCGTCGCATACTACGACGATGCTGTAAAAATGTTTTATCAAAATAATTAAACCATTGCATATTACACGCATTTTACTGCATTACCCTATCCTTCGTTTATTCCTTTGCAACAACATTTGCGTCTCGATGGTAAAGTTATAAACCAGCAAGATCTATTCGTCAATAAGTAATGCACTTACCAATAATCTGCATTGCTCGACATCTTTTGTCCCTCGAAAACAACTGAAATAGATTTGCCCTATAACACTCACCAAGGATCGGAGTTAATTTTCACATTAAAAAGAAACATCATAGGCTCGAACGTCATGCCACCGAATCTATTAATATAACGACATTGTTTTCCCGTTCGTTATTTCGAATAGCACTGCACTTCTTTTTAACATTTGCAATAATCGTAATAACTAATAGTTCAAAACGCGAAAACATCTTGAAACTCAAACGAGGAAAGTGACATTAACCGGAAGTCCGGAAGTATATATAAATCGAGCAAAAATGCGATAATCGATAAATCTCGAAGCGAGAAACGTCATGCTTAGGAGCGAGACCAGCGGCTAAGATGGCTGCCTACCGAGGAATTATCGTATGCAATCGTATGTGTTGCGTTGTGAGTTAACTGAAATTGTTGCTTGTTCTGTTTTCCAATTGACAAAAGTTACTATGGGGTAAGTCGACTTCATTTTTATTACTGCCTAACATCCGTTTAAAAAGGAACAATTATTTGTCTATAAAATAAAGAGAATTTGGACAAGGAATATATAAGACCTGTTTATATTTTGGACTCATTGAGAAAGTGGCTCAATTATTTATTTCAGTACACTGAAACGATAAAAATAACATATCAAAGTTATTTAATAAAAATGCTAGAGTTGGATTTATATTTAGTAATTACTTTGCAAATAGTATACTCAGGATTTCGTGAATTTAACCTAACGCGTTGCCTTGTATGTATATGCATTCATGATCATTTAGTTCTCATTATAAATTTAAGCTGATATTTTTGTGTTTGTGAGTTTCTTAAAGTTTACTTCTTTTTTGATACGATGTTTGCTACAGAATGATATATTCAGCATTATTGGTACAAGAGTATTATCTACGTATGACTCAAAGATTATGTTCAATTATTTAGATATTGAGAATACTCCAATTTTTTTTTTTATAAGAGATTTTCTTCAAGTACATTTAGTCCATATTAATGAGTTATGATTAGGAGATCGATTTTAAATGCACCAAATTCTTTTAGCACCTCCGACTTAGAGTGTTTGGACTCAAAGAAGGATCTGGTAGAGATAGATTCTGAGTCCGATATGCTAGGAGATCAAAAAAAGAAGAAGAAAAGGAAACACAAGCATCATAAACATAAAAAAGATAAAATAATTGAAAAAGAGGATATAAAAGTTGATCGGCAAGAAAGGTATATGCAGTTGTTATAAAAGATAGCATCAGATTTGACAGTTAGTGACCTTTTTTTTCTTTTAGGAAGAAACATAAGAAACATAAACGTCCTAAAAAAGAAAGGGATAATGAGAATGGTTCTGTTGATGACAAAACTGTACCTCGTGTAATTCATAAAGAGGCTGATGTAAATGGAAAAGTGGCAAATTCTCAGTTAGAAATAGTGTCTACCGAGGAAAGCGATGATGAAAAATTAGTTGATTTGGATTCGGATGAAGTAGATTGTACAATTATAGAAGACGATATTGATCTCGAAGAGCTAATGAAACAAAAGGTACGATATTATGTATCATCGTTATCGTGGTGTGTAAATTTTAGAGATACTTTATCCTCATAAATATATTCGTACGCACAGGAACGACTGCAAGCATGTTTAGTGCAATATCTCTCAGACGAATCTGACAAGGAGGGAAAAGAACCAGAACAAGAAGTGGTAAAGGTATCTGAAACCCCTGACGTAATTCTAGTGGAAGACGACAGTGGTGATGACAGCGCAACTCGTAAAAAGCGTCAAAGAAGCAGATCGGGCAGCAGAGAGCGTAAAAAGATTTCCAAAATCGAAAGACGTGTCGTCGTCGACATGACACGAGACAGAAGGAGTCGCGAGGAACCAAAAGACAAACGTAGAGAATCCGAAAGAAGACGAGATGACAAAGTGCGTAGTAGGGATGACGTGAAGAGGGATGATGTTAAAAGGGATGACAGACAGACACGTAAAGTCGTCGAAAGACCAAAGGAAGATTCAAGAAGGGATGATTCACGAAGGAGACTAGAAGAAGAGAGACGCAAGGAAGTATCGAAACGTGAGGAGGTGCGTAAAAGGGAACACGATCGAAGAGAAGATGAACGTAAACGAGAATCAGATCGTCACAACTCGACATCACGAAATGACTCAAAATCAGGAGATGCCCGCTCTGACTCTCGTCAGCGTGCAATAAAACGCGACAGTCGGGATGGTGTCGATAGTGGTAGAGGAGATCGTCATGGAAGTCGCGAGCGTCGCAGTCGTGAGAGACCAACCAGTAGGGATCGTAATGCTAGTCGTGACAAACGTGACAGCAGAGAACGTCACACGAGTCGTGATCGTCACATGACTCGTGAAAGACCTGGAAGTCGAGACAGACAGGACAATCGTGATCGTAGGGATAGCCGAAATCAGGAAAGACAGCGAGAACGTTCCCGAAGCATGAGACGATCACGAAGTCCCATGAGAAGCAGAATGGATAGAGATCGTAATGATCGGTTCAGAAGGTCCAGATCCTTATCTAGAAACCGTAGGGATCGAGATCGTGATCGGCACGGAAGAGACTTTGACAGGGATCGTGAGAAAAATGGTAAGAGGGAACGTAATGATAAGTACAAGGATTCTCTATCGGAAGGCTTGAAGGTTGAACGTTCCGAAAGCTCCAGTGAAGAAGATATCAAGGATATTGATATTGAGGAAGAGGAAGACGAAGAGGCCATTATCGAGCGTCGAAGAAAACAAAGAGAAGAACTACTAAAAGTGAGTTAGGGCCACTTTTATGCTTTATTCAGACTTTAAGAGCAAAATAAAGAATCGGATGATACTTTCTTTGTAATTTTCTTTTGTTTAGAGATTAGGAGGTCCTAACGAGGATTCGAATATGTCGGCTGACTTAAATGCCGTAACACATTCACCTCCTTCGGAAAGTCAGTCGAACGTATCACAGAAATCCGTAGAAATTGCCTCAAACAATAACGAATCTACCTCGGAGAGTCATACTCCACCACTGCCAGAAAAAGCAAAATCCCCGCAGCCTGTGAAGAAGAGGAAATCGAGATTCGAGGATGCCCCGTCGACGGAGGAATCTGAGAAGCTGGAAGATTTAAGAATCATTGAAAAACCAAAACTGGAGGACAAGCAAAATCCCAAAAAGGCTAACGAGTGGGATATGTTTGCTGAAATCGATAATCCTGCGGATTTCAGTGTAGGTCAAGATTTTCTGCATTCGCTGTTCATTGATCTTTGCAATATATGTACTATCGATTTTTCCTTAGAGCCCAACTGTCGAAGGAAAGCGACCCGGTGGTCCAGACAATCCCAGTTTAACGGATAACTGGGACGATGCTGAAGGATATTATCGGTTTGTGTTCCTTTTACTTGTGATCAATACGCGATTCTCAACTTTAGATAAGATTCTGCAACTTTATTGTTTTTTTTTTTTTTTTTTTTTTTTTTTTTTTTTTTTTTTTTTTTTTTTTTTTTTTTTTTTCTTTTTAGAGTCCGCGTTGGAGAAACCTTAGATTCACGTTACATAGTTTATGGCTACACTGGACAAGGTGTCTTCAGTAATGTTGTCAGAGCCAGGGACAGCGCCCGAGGAAATCTTGACGTGGCAGTCAAGATTATACGAAACAATGAAATAATGTATGTTGACTCGGCATTGCAGACATAAAATTCTCAGAATCTATTGTCTTATTCAATTTTTTTCTAGGCATAAGACAGGTCTCAAGGAACTAGAAATTCTTAGGAAATTGAATGACGCCGATCCGGAGGATCGTTTTCACTGCCTGCGTTTATTTAGGCACTTTTTTCACAAGAATCACTTGTGTATGGTTTTCGAACCACTAGCTATGAATTTAAGAGAAGTATGAATTTCACTTTTTACGCATAAAAGATTCTGCCTGCGACCATTCAAACTTCTGATATCGCGACTAATTTCATTTTCATATTCCAGGTTTTGAAAAAGTACGGTAAAGATGTGGGCCTGCACGTAAAAGCGGTAAGGTCGTATACCCAGCAGCTTTTCCTGGCGTTGAAATTGCTGAAACGCGCAAATATATTGCACGCCGACATTAAACCGGACAATATTCTAGTCAGCGAAAGCAAACTAGTATTAAAGCTCTGCGACTTTGGCTCAGCCTCTCACGCGCATGAAAATGAAATAACGCCGTACCTCGTATCAAGGTTTTATCGTGCCCCTGAAATCAGTAAGTATTATTTTTTTTTTGGATCTTACATAATTCATTATACCTTGATTATAACTGTGTTTCATGGAAAAGATAGAGCCGACTTTATTTTTGTTGCGCGCTTATGTACGAAAAGTGAAGGAAAAAGAAATTGTGTAGACACCTTGCTCCGATTTTGAAAGTAACATAGATATTTTCTAGTTCTTGGTATACCCTATGATTTTGGCATTGACATGTGGTCCGTGGGCTGTACCATATACGAATTGTACACTGGAAAGATCATGTTCTCGGGGAAGACGAATAACCAGATGCTAAAGTTCTTCATGGACCTGAAGGGCAAAATGCCTAACAAACTGATTAGGAAGGGCACGTTCAAGGACCAACATTTTGACACTAACTGCAACTTCCTCTACCACGAGGTCGATAAAGTCACCGAGCGGGTAAGTAACCACTACCAATGTTTCATTATCTCTCTAACCTCGGCGACCGTAACGCAAATTTTCCCACGATGGAAGTGGGATGCGCGGTAAGTGTCAATACCGAATGTTTCTCGCCACGTAGAGTCTTACGTGCGCGTCTAATGTATCATAAAAAAAAATAAAATGAAAAGAGAAGAGAAACGAGAGAACGGAAAATCGTCGTTAGTGAGCCTCGTGATGTTTCTCAATCTGAAAGAGGTCCTGCCACGTGTGTTATAGGAGAAGGTCGTAGTAATGTCGACCCTTTCCGCGAGTCGTGATATCAGCGCTGAGCTTGGTGGTAATTCCTTACCTCCTGAGCAAAACCGGAAGGTCGCGCAGCTGAAGGATCTGCTAGAGAGAACGCTGATGCTGGATGCAGGCAAGAGAATAACGGTGAACCACGCCCTGGCGCATCCATTTATACAAGAAAAAATATAGGTAACCCCACCCCGGGGACCTTCCTCGTCGGAGATTTCATTGACATAACTTTATATTTTAATTAGCACAGCCGCTAACGATTCGTTGAATGCTACCAAACACCTAAGCTTATAGCGCGATACGCGGGGTCTCTCTGATTAAATGAAAGAAAGTTTTGAGTGAAATATATATTCGTTTTATCGGAAAGAGGCGATCTACGATCCCGTTGACTCCTTATTGCCTAGCGAATCTTACCTGTTAGCAGGATGAAACGAAAACACCGATTCTCCGTTTCCTATCTTCGATTTAAACGCTGAATATAAGTAGAGGGAATTAAGGAATTAAATAAAAAACATTTTTTTTTCAAGATTCATGAGAAAAAGATTGACGTGCGTGATCGCAAGCTCGCCGCTTTCCGCACGATATGACGAAAGGTACAATAGCATAATCGTACATAGTATTTTTTTCAGAATTGTCGTAATTATGACGCGACTTCCTTACAATAATGTTTCTTATAACTTATTATGTCATAATTCATTACTAATTATACGGTAACGTATCTACCCGATGGCGAGTAGCCGGTAACAATACTTGTGAAATTGTAAAATTCTTCACGATAATTATTGCCGAGGCACAAGGTATATAGAACGGAACAACATAAAGATAACAAAGGGAAGTTCTATTTTCTTTCTTTCGTTAGGTTTCTTATTCTTTTTAAGTCGACAACGTACACGGCATGACTTCAGTTGGATGGGTCTGGCGACGAGAAATTTGGTGTACTAACAAGAAAAAAAATTGTATAGCAAATAGAACTGTAGTTGAAATAAAAGAACACATACTTGAAAAAGAAAGGAAAAAGTGAATATGCAGCAACAACGACAGCGCCGATACAACGAAGCAGCTTTACAAACAAAAATCAAAGCCCTGCACTCTTTCTGATAATGAAATTGGCCTCTGCCAGAGTTACAATTGTAAAACCAAGTACGAGGTTATCCAACTGAAACTTACAGTTAAAACTTGACATCTGTCGTTGGACCGATTGATTTGAAATCAGAAAAATAACTTGATTAAGTTCCACTAATACAAAACGTTTCAGTCGAATATCCCTGTATAGAAGTTTCGTGCAGAATTGGTATCTTCGCCAGGCTAAGCAGCACTGATGCTCCTTCCTACTTGTTAAACCACAAAATATCTTCATGAGTGTTCAGAAAAAGTAGGGATCGTCAATGCTGTTTATACGAGTGCGACTGATATATAAAGTCAAGCGAAAACGAAAAAAAAAAATGGTTCACGGTAGACACTTTCTAAACGTAGCACAATTGTACGAGGCTGCTTATGTTTCAGATGAGTCTTCGATTCAAAATCGTCGTTAAGTGCGGCCGGACCTTACAAGGGCCTTTAGCGCTGTTCCCGTTGCAAGGTATTCATGGGGACTGCCTTATGGGATATTTATTATATCCGTATTTCAAACTTAACCAAATAATCGAGAGATACATTTAATAACGATACCAAGCCTCGCCCCCTCTCCTCTCATACTCTTCGAGTCTCCACAACCTTATCAAATCACTCACTGTTGTTGCACAAAGATTTCACATGGAAAATCATTATTTTCCCTTGAAATATGAATTCTTAAATTTCTTTCACTCGATCGAGCCCTGTTCTTTTATTTAAAGAATATTCCGATCAAAGCTATTGAGATTATTCGCATTCGTATGTCACCCCTCTTGACCTCCTATAAACACTTCCTGTGTTCTGACAATTCCTTGTTTCAAGAGGCAAAAGTCAAAAGAAACAATGAAAATATAAACTAAAACGAGAAAAAGAAATGAAAAGAGTAAAAAAAATGACACAACCATCCCCGTACGAGTGGACCTCTTTCTAATTGGGAATTTGGTAATGTTTCACTTGTAGCCCTCCCTGTGAGGAGGGGAGGCAATGGAAGATCAAGGAGAAAAGGGCTAAGAGCTGCACCTACCTCTTCTTCTCACACACCCACGTAGAACGACAGATTCTCGACTACTTCGGCTCCACAGACTGATTTAACTATATTGATGTCACCACACACAGGTTTGTTCAGGCCAATTCGATGGAACGTTTTGCCTGCAAGTTGCTTTGGTAAGTAAGAACGCGCACGACAGGTAAGATAATTATTAAGTGATAAAGAAATACAATGGTGGGACGTGGCCCTTAAGTCGGCGATCAGGTTTGTTCTACGCGTTACAGGATGCTTCGTTAATGAAAAATTTATTATTTATTTCTTAAATATTCACGCGAATTCACTGTAACGAAAGTGGAATGGACCTGAATCATAATTGGGTACGATTTAATCGATGACGTTCTGAGCTTTCAGATTTTCATGTGGATTCGGTCATCAGAGATTTCTAACTACTGGATATGAATTTCGATGGAGAACTAAATCAATGTTACTGCTACTCCTCCACACTGCCTAATCAAGTGGACGGATGCTGTTGGTAGAAATTTTTGCCTGGAATACTGTCATCGAGGATTTTCAGAATAAATCTTTTCCTCTCTTATTTTACTGAATGAAGGAGTTCGATTATTTACACCAAATCCTCTTTTAAGTACTTTTTAGAAATTATTGGAAACAGTAGTAGTAGATACAGTATGTTTATTTAACGCAGGTTGAGATACATATATTCAATTAATGTTCGGCAGTAACATCCATCATATGGAAATAGAGTTAATACAATAAATAATGGATATGATATCGCATATTTCTTTTTACAAAAATATTCGTATCCTTGTAGAACACGTATGTATCATCAAGACATTCTATTGGCATTTCTGGACCAACGTTAAACAACATAATACAATTACGTACACAGGAGCATCTCGACAAATTTAATTGATATACCAGTACGAAAATTCACACTCTTTATAACGAGTCATTATGACTCACTAGAGATTACAAAAGATTAATCTCGTTCCGGATAATACTGAATTAAGGATTTTGCGAGTTCCTGGGCTAGTTCTGTGGTGGCGGCGCACAGAACTCTTCTGCTCATAAGATCGAGTGGTCCACCTAAGATAAAAAAAATGGAATTGTCAAGGTACCTTCTTAGGTCAAGGGGACTACTCAGACAATTCAGGGGAACTAGACTCATTGCTTGGATTTCTCGATTTTCTGACATCTATGAATCTCGTACGCCTTATGCAGGAAAACACTCAATATTATTCCGTTAAAGGGGAAAATTACGTATCCGAATAGACCTTCGCGTCTTATTTGTGATGTGTGAGGTATATATACCATATAAGATAACCGCTATCAACAATTTTTATATCTATAACATTTTTCAAACTTGACATACCAGCTGGATCTATGCAGATACCACCAGCTTCTCTGACAATCAAATCACCAGCTGCAATGTCCCAGGCATGGATTCCAAATTCAAAATGACCATCAGCTCCACCCAGAGCTACCATGCACATATCCAATGCTGCTGATCCAAGAGCTCTCAAGCTGCCGTGATAAAAAAAATTATTGATTCATTTTAGATAGAGTTCAAATCATTTTTATTCTTTTAAATTTTAGTACCCATGAACTTGTGGTGTCAGGACGTGAAGATTCTCCATGACGATTTTCATTTTTTCAGGATCTTTACTCGTACCCATCTCCAACATTATTAACGCTTTTGATAATTCTGCGAAAATAAGGATTTTTATGAATGCATGAAGGTAAGGATATCGTGACACTTTTACGGATAAGATTATAACCTTTCTGATTGGAAACGTGAATCGGTGAATTATTTAAGAATGCTCCTTGACCTCTTCTAGCAGTGAACAATTGTTCCAAAATAGGATTGTAGACGATACCGATTTCTGGTACCTTATCGATCAAAAGTCCTATAGAGACACAAGTGTGGGGTAGACCATGAACGAAATTCATGGTACCATCTATGGGATCTATGATCCACGTAGGTGCGTCTGTCAATTCAATTTTTTCCCCGGGACTACTGCTCTCCTCCCCGATGAATCTACAAATACGAAATTATTTAATCGCCTTTCAAATTCCCGCCTTAATCAGACATTTTCTGTCTTGCTAACCAATTACGTTCGCCCATATAAGCAACAGTAACAGATTTAAATCTAAGTCAATAAAGTTTAATTAATAGACCATCTTGGTCGTCGTGCTCAAATAAAAGCCGTACTTATGATCAGCAAACTTCGAGGAGAGACCATCTATCAGAAGCTTCTCCACCTGCTGATCAGATTCAGTTACAAGGTCAATGTCACAGGATTTTGTCATAATATCCTTTGGCCTGTTGATCTTGTCTCTGATAACCTAAAGGAAAAATAAATAACAATGCATGAGATTTCTGTACGGCGAGAATGTCGGCCTGGTGATTGGCAAAATCAATACTTCGGCTCACAGCAAGCGAACCTGTCAGTTATCACGGGCATTGGAAAAAGTAATGGAATTTTATGATGCAATCAACTATCACAAGTTTTGTACATACCGCACCAGCTTCCTGAACCAACGATAAGACGACCTCGTAGTATGCATCGAGTTGCGACATCTTTGTAAGATTCTCGGTAGAATTTTCTTCAAAACCTAAACAACTCTCAGCGTCAAGCGACGCTACAAATACTGGCACGCATTCAGCAGTCGCTTCGTGCGAACTGACTGACTATCGTGAGATCGTGACCATCCTGACTGGCGACTGCCATACCGGCATTATTTTTATCAGCTGATATCCCAATCCCTCCCCCTGCTCTCCGCGCGACGAACAAATTTCATCTGTCGACCGAAATAGTACAACTTTTTCTTTCTTGTCCAGAAGAAACTTTATTTATCACACGCTTTTAGAGAGCATATTAATTTTATTAAATAAAATTTGTATACCCAGAAATAAAAATATAGTACTAACAGATACCAATCAATAGTGTAGATAATATATTAAGGTTAACAAAGTAAAATCAATTGAATCTGAAAAGTTACATTTGAGAACATTCAATTGTGGGGATGGAAATTTTAATAATAAGAGGCTTTGGAAATGGTTTAACAGAATTATGCGTTTCAACATATATACATATACATATTTCTTATATCACACCTATATTTAATTTGTTCCACGAGGAATGATATGTATGCGACTCGATCCAAGATTCATTTTAGATCGATGAGTTTCTTATGTCTCTTCAAGTACACACGTGTTGTATCTAATAGGTACGTTACACGTATACATAATTTACTTAATTTATATATATTTATATATGTATATTTCATCTTTATAATTTATTCTTTAACATTCATTATATTCTCAGGCGTTTATTAGTAGAGACATCCACTTGAATTATGCGATCGCCATCACAGTATCAGTGTTACTTTCAACGTTTTAATATTTTCACACATTCATCCTCCTCCTTCCCTTCCCCCTTCAGCTTGTTCGCCCAATTGGCCAAAAAAACTATAATATATAATAATTTTCTGCGCGTCTATGCGTGTACGTAAATAATGTAAGCCAGTGCGCTTAGTCGTAAATTAACCCACTCGACTTTTCAACTCTAAGAATTGAACGCCGAAAAAATAAATTAAGCTCTATTTTTAGTTATGGTACCAGTATAGCGTGATGCTCCCTAGTGCATTAATTTTTCCTTATCATGCTTTCCCAGTTACGATCTTAAAATCCTCCTACGCTAGTAGCGATAGCAGGAAAATAAAATTTCATAGACACCAGTCTGATAATCTAATCAATTTTACAATTTTTAACGTTCAATTCAATTATAAATAACTAGTAGAACCGCGACGCTAGATGAGTGTTGTTCGCCATTACATTCTATATACAGAAGACGGTCAATTAGCAAGCGCGAATCTATATCTACGCATGCGTAGACACTTAAAGTACTCGTATGGCACAGGAGCAATTTTCTTGCATGAAAATAAAATCATCTAAAGTATACAAGTGTACTTTCGTTGCGAATGTAATATCGTCTTTATGCGTAATGACGCAACAAGCGTGTAAAGTCGACCGTGAAGGACGGTTTTTTTTCTCTTTCTTTTTGTACCCACCTTTTCATTTTTATTTTATATTAGTACTTTGCCCTTTCCCTTGACTTCGTTTAACAAATGTGCAGTTGGGCATGTATGAAATATGACTGATGACAAAACGAAAACGGTGACCGAAAATGGACATGCCGAAAACACGTGAATCGGCCAATCATTGCTTAATTAAAAAAAAAAAGAGTTACGACCAGGAGTCTCGTGTATTATTACTTGTAATCGCAAGATAAATTAAAACAAGACCCAGCCCGTGTGGATTTTCTTTAAAATAACAGGAACGGTCACTTCTGCCCTCTCGAAGTTCACCTCAGGTTATAATTAAATAATATACGTAAAATAGTGGAAAGTGAGCATGGTTGCCTTCCGCATCTATAAAAGCACGAATATTCTGCTACCGGATGTGACTGTGCGCTGCCTTTACCGTAAGACTAGAGAATATCCTAAGTTGAATTTAGGGCCTGAGCTGGAATAATAGATCCACTACCGCCTCGTCAGCCAATGTTGATATATCGCCGACATTTTTGTCGCCGACGGCTATCTTCCTGAGAATGCGTCGCATGATCTTACCAGATCTCGTCTTCGGTAAACCTGGAGCATGTTGGATCACATCCGGTTGAGCGAAGGCACCGATCCTCTCGCGCACTGTAATTCGAAAGTTTATATCCTTATTATAAAAAATCAAGAACAATAAAGAATATATAATCCGAAGAAATAGATTTTACCTTTCTTCTTCAGTTCATCCTGCAGCTGTTTATTGAAAACGTGTCCTTCGTTGGGCGTAATGAAACAATAAAGGCATTGACCCTTTACCGAGTGAGGCTTACTCACTACAGCAGCTTCAGCTACGGAATCATGCTCTGTCAAGACACTTTCGACTTCCGCTGTGGACATCAAGTGACCAGAAACGTTCAACATGTCATCGATACGTCCGGTTACCCAAAGGTAACCATCGGCGTCACGTTTGGCACCTGAAAACAAAATTTTTTTATTGTGTGCCGATTGTCATTTGAGAGTCTATTGAGAATTTCGTTCATTTTCAAATTATACAAAATTATTGGTATATCAGTATTCACATTCAGATATTATAACCTAGAAATGCCAATTCAGAAAATCAAAGCGAGACAGATTTTCGATTCTCGTGGTGATCCCACACTGGAGGTCGACCTGATAACGGATATCGGTCTCCTGAGATCATCAGTTCCTTGCACGTTAACGCCAAATCCAAACGAAGCCGTCGAGCTAAGAGATGGCAACGAAGCAGCGTATAACGGACGTTCAGTCTTTAAAGCCGTGGACATGGTGAACAATATAATCGGACCGGAAATCATTAAAACGAAATTTGATGTCTGCCAGCAGCAAGAAATCGACAACCTGATGATCAAATTGGATGGGACGGAGAACAAGTCCAAGCTGGGAGCAAACGCCATCTTGGCAGTCTCCACGGCTTGTTGCAAAGCCGGAGCAGCTAAAAGAGGCTTGCCTCTTTACAAATACATCGCTGAATTGGCAGATAATGGCGAACTTTATATTCCTGTGCCAGCTTTCAATGTGATCAGCGGCGGAAAAGCCGCGCCCAATCCTTTACCCTGTCAGGAATTTATGATCATGCCCACAGGTAGTACTACCAACAGCGTATACAGCATTTCGTAAGTGTCAATTCATAACAAAAATTTTCATAATTCTCAAGGTGCAGAGAGCTTTGCCGATGCTATGAAAATGGGGACAGAAGTGTATCGCACGATTGAGAAATCAATCGCTGAACAGCAAGACACCAAAACTCCACTTTCAGTAAATGACGAAGGAGCTTTTGTTCCAGAGCTGGAAGACGATAAGGAAGTTCTGAACTTGATCAATGAAGCGATTAAAGCAACTGGTTATGATGGGAAGATCAAAATCGCTTTAGACATGGCAGCTACGTCGTTCTGCAAGGATGGTCAGATGTCTTATAATTGAAAATAGTCTGATGAACAAAAAAATGATCAAATTTCTTTATATCCAGGTCAGTACGATATGGCGTTCAAGACCGAAGACTCTGATCCTGACGATTACCTTGAAGCGGAAGCACTGAAGGATCAGTACGTCGAATATCTCACAGAATTTCCAATAATCGTGTCGATCGAAGATCCATTCGATCAGGAAGATTGGGACGGCTGGCCCATGTTGAGTAATCAACCGATCCAGATCGTTGCTGACGATCTGACGGCCATGAATATCGAGCGTGTTCAAGAAGCCATAGAAAGAAGATCAGCCAACTGTCTTCTGATAAGACTTTCACAAGCTGGTACAATAACCGAAGCCATTAACTGTCATAAAATAGCGAAAATAAGCGGATGGAGCAGCATGGTTACTGCTGGTTATGGAGAAACGGAAGACACCTTCGTAGCCGATCTTGCTGTTGGCCTTTCAGTTAAGCAATTCAAGGCTGGTGCACCGTGTAGAAGCGAGAGGAACGCCAAGTACAATCAAATACTCCGAATCGAGGAAGAGATGGGTAAAGATGCTAAATATGCTGGAAATAATTTCCGAAATCCTTTATCCAAATAAACAAGCCGATAACACTTACCATCGCCTGTACAATAATATCCATGAAACCGATCAAAATAAGTATTCTGAAAACGCTCGTGATTCCCAAAGAGAGTTCTCATCATTCCCGGCCAAGGTCTGCTGAAGACGAGATATCCTTCGCCCTCGCCTTCGATAAGAGTTCCGTCTTCATCGATGAGTTCCGGCAAAACGCCAAAGAACGGAAACGTCTGCAAGCAAAAAATATATTTACATATCCTCAAGCACATTTCATTCGAACATGAACTTACCGCTGATCCCGGCTTCATTGGCGTAGCACCGGGGAGTGGCGTTATCACGTGACCACCCGTTTCCGTTTGCCAAAAAGTGTCTACGATGCTACATTTACCATGGCCGACGATGTTGTAAAACCACAGCCAAGCTTCGGAATTGATTGGTTCACCCACGGATCCAAGAACCTGCGTAACCAAATATCATGACGGACGTTCCAAAAAAAGAAAAGAATTTTAATAATTATAAATAATTACTCTGAGCGAGCTGAGATTGTGCTTGGTCACTAATTCGTCACCAAACTTCATGAGGGACCTGATGGCAGTCGGTGCAGTATAGAATTGATTAACCTTGTACTTGTCAATGACAGACCAGTACCTGTCATTCGCAGGATAGAAAGGTGTACCTTCAAACTGACATTAGAGAGAATAATAAGTGATACTTGCTCCTTGGATAAAGTGCAATGTTGACTCACCAATACGGAAGTAGCTCCATTAGCTAAAGGTCCGTACACAACATAGGTGTGACCTGTGATCCAACCAACGTCTGCCGTGCACCAATAAACATCACCAGGATGGTAATCAAAGACGTACTTAAACGTGGTAGCCGCATAGATAAGATATCCTGCAGTGGTGTGGAGGACTCCTTTAGGCTTTCCAGTAGAACCACTGAGCATTTCCAGAATTGCAATTAAAACATTTTTTAAATATTCATTAATCAATTCCTCCTGAAGAAGTAAACAGTTACCTAGTATACAGCATGAAGATCGGATCTTCAGCAGCCATCCAGACGGGATAACAGCTGGGTTCTTCGTCATCCATCAACTTGTCCCACCAAAAATCACGGCCTTCGGTCCACGAAATTTCTTTAGCAGATGATTCAGATTTGTTACCATTGGTACCATTAACTCCATTGGTCGTATGAGTTGCTCTGGTAGGTGGACCGTTGACCCTCTCGAGATGACCCACAACGATACACGTCTCCACTTCGTGGTCATGCTGCTTCACTTTATCCAGAGCCTCGTCGGCAATGTTCTTCAGCAAAAGGAGCTTCTCGCCTCTCCAGACTCCGTCGGCTGTGATCAGAACCTTCGCTTTGCAATCCAATATCCTCTCGGTTAAAGAGTCCGAGGAATAGCCTGCGAACTGAATTCAAAAAGAAATCGGAATATTAGACTTTTTCAAAAAGTATCTAATATTGAATTTTCTATCGAACTATTATCACTTACCACTATACTGTGTATGGCACCTATTCTGGTACAAGCGAGCATAGCAATCGGTAACTCAAGGATCATCGGCATATAAATCGCAACGCGATCACCTTTGGTCACACCTTTAGTCTTCAAGACATTAGCGAACCTACAGACTTCTTCTAATAGTTTCTTATAGGTCAGCCGTGAGTAGTCCTCTGGATCGTTACCTTCCCTGAAAAAAATCGGTTACGCTTAAAGAAGAATATGACGTATAGACTTTACGTTGACGTCACAATAAGTAGTTTTACATCTTCGCGGTGAATCGATAAACGCACGTCGGCCAATGTCTGCGAGAAAATGTCAAAAGTCAAGTACAAAGGAAGTATTCGTAAGCAAACACTTTCAAATGACAAATTTTCATATTTACTGCATAACTCAATTTTCAATAATTTCCCCAAGGACCTGTAATTCGACTCATATGAAAATCCTATTTAAAATCACTGACTAATCTTCAAGACTCGTATGTCAGATTTTTTTGGCTTAAGCAGTTTTTTATGTGATTTTATGGTCACGTGATCGACAATTTTCAGGAAAGAAATATATCTTGCTGATAAAGTTTAATAGCGTGATACCCCTCAGCAAAGATAAAATTACTATAATTCCCAGCATTTCCGAAATGAAGCATGACCGGGTCACGTGGATAAAAAAAATTATTTAACGTTAAACATGTATCTTCGATAAAGAGTAATGACAGATAAGAAGTTATTAAATTTCGTGTCTATTGCTGAAATAAAGTGGTCATATAATAATTATAAGTGGCCAACACCAGGCAGTCTAAAGATTACTAATTTCCTAAGTATCAACAAAAACGTACTTATCATGCTATCGTGCAGACAAAACACCCATCAAGATACTGGCGAATGATAAAGTTTATTAAGGAAAAAGAGAAGGAGCCAATATTTGCTATTGTACATTTTTCAAAACAAAATTAGTCGCAATTTCGTACATTCGATTTTAATTATGTAATACATTCCTTTCTTTTCGTACTGGGTTATGTTGTCGCTTCAATGCTCACCAGCCCTAATCAATAATTATTACAACGTCCCATTCGCATGTAATTACATAAAGATATCACGCTATTTAAAAAAAGCAACGATAATAAGCCGGTTATATTAGGTTTGATCATACGACAAAACCACATAAAAAAGTAATCGTCAACAAGACTATAATGATGAATCAAACTACTCACTTTAAAGTGAACCAGGATAATGGAGAAAACCGCGCCATCTGTTTTGCTTCGCAACCTTAACATTGTTAATCTACTTTCAAAATGTTTCGAGTACCCTTGATTTGTTATCTATCGAGGACAAGTACATCGCCACGGAAGTCTATCGCGAATTATAAAAAAAAAAGAAAAGTAAAAGTGACAGGAAGCAGGAACAGAAGTAAGGAAGGTTAGGATTGGAATTTAGTCGTGTCGCCAGCTGCAACGGACATTAGAAGAATCACGCGACGCGTCGCGCCACGAGATTCTGACCAATAGGAAACGATCTTTAGGTAGCACACGAAATTTTTTAACGAATCAGCTGTACGGTGTCGATCCAGTACCTTGGTGGTTTATTCGGCACTACTTAATATAACGGGTGGTTCAAAGATATCGTTAACGTTCAGCGACATTCGGTACAAGAAAATTGTGATCAAGCTATAAGAAAATGTATTCTGCTTAAGAACAATCTACCTGTTCTATAAATGAGTCAATTTTTCTTTGTATTTTCCGAAAAAGATAGTAATTCGTAAAAATAGTTTTTTGTAGTAAGAAACGTTCTGCCCCACCAATGACTTGCGTTCATCACGTCGTTCCTGAATTTTGCATCATAATGAATCGCGTGGTACAGCGGTTCTCATATTATAGATATTAATGTCTGCTTTCATCAATACGCAAGTATATGTTTCTCTATTGGACGAACAGTCACTGAGAAAATGTATGCGAACGGCATAATATTTACCTATTATCCGTATAAGAGAGACACGCTTTCGAATAAATTCACGCCCGGACTGTCCTAAGGCCACGTGACGATAAACTTCATTCGAACTTTGACAATATATTCCTAAAGAATTTAAAGTGCTTGCTTTAGTCTCGCAGAAAAAAATCTAATTACTGCGTTATCCTTGAGACAGAATACTATTTTCAATTTCGCTATTAATACTTATGATATGATAAATAATTGTCTATAAGATGCAAGTTATAAAAATTAATAACGAAAACAAGAACTTACCAGTAAAAAGCAATTTTATCACCATAGCCATTCCGCACGTTTTTATCAAGAAGATTATAGCTCAAATTCGTGGTAGCACCTTCCATCCATTTTATAAAGATTTCTCCCTTTGTACGGTCGAAATTGTAGGAGCAGAAATTATCCTGATTCGCCGGAGTCTCCCAGTGAAATTGTTTGGCTATTTCTCCCCAGAACTGTGCTGGTTCCTCGATAGACCTTTAAACACGTCGACAATAGTATTTCTTTGCTCAGTCAGTCTGCGTAATTGAGGTTGACGATAGTAGCTCATGTAATGTTAAATATTCTCATTATTTGCGTCCTCTCTTTTCAATGGCATTGTTATATCCTTAGCAACATAAAGAATCTTATCGACGTTATCGTACTATAGTAGTTTCGTTATACTTTACGTTTTCAAGGTGAGTAACTTGTCATATTTAAAAAATAGCTTGACACACGAAAAGGATTACCTGAACGATACATAGTACAAAAGAACATTTTGAGAATAGAACAAAAAAAATGTGATTCGGTTAACACTTGAAATAGTCAAAATTTAGGGGAAAAACTGCGGTCTTCACTGTATTTACTTAACGTCGTAGGGCTCGTGCCTGCAGGGAGACACGGAGGATCAATATTCTGTTACTATTTCTAAAGTCCATCGACTTTTATAGTAAGTATGAAGGAGCAGCTGTTATTAGTCGTAATACAATCTTGCAAACAAACTCTATCCCATGAATGATGAATGAAAACGTCATCGGAATCCTGTACTAGCAACCATATCCTGCGCAACTATCATCCTCCGACTACAATACATAGTAGCACAGTATTATACAGTAAAAATATTACTTAAAAAAATTCATAAATCAAACGAGTATCTTCCAAATATAAACTCACATCTTATGCATTTTTTTATATTCGTCGAAACTGCTGCAGTGAGCCTTCCTGAATACTTCAGGATTGGGGTAGTATGTCCTGTCGGCCATCTTCGTAGTTGCTGCACTTGCCACCCCGTCCATATAAAATTCAATCAAAGGATTTTTGACGAAACGACGAATTAGGTAACTTCAACCTAGATTCCTATTAGCGATGGAGACAGAGGACTGAATGATGCGAGGATGCACTTTGGATGACAAGGTAGGAATTACGAAGGACAGGAGGGTTGATTTTTCACTAGAAGACGCCAGCATCTACGACGACGTACCCGCTATGTGCTCACCGCGTTGGCTGGCAAAGCACGACTGATCGCTGACATAGCAATCGAGCCGTAGCAGCCGCCGATTCGCAAGCGTCGGTGGAGAGGACTCGTAATCGATACACGTGTCTCGTATTCCACTCACTCTGCCAGTGAAAGTATTCGGAGAATCAAAGAGAGAGAAATTAATTATGAATTTATTTATGTCATACAGGAAGAACTAAAAAATTGGGGAGACAGTTCAATAATGCCAACAATAGTGTACAATATATTTATTATATTTTCTGGGTGATGAATTTATTATGTTGCTCGCAATATAGTATTATAACACAAAAGATGTGTCAGCTTCCGGTTCTTATGTCCTTAAAATTTCCTTTAATCAAAACACTTCTTGACGTCTTCGGTAATTCGTAATGGCTATTTCTACACCGGACATACACGTATTGAGGTCTAACCTGCTTACTCGTTTGATAACAAAATTGGAGGGATAACCTTTCGTACATAACGGTTTGATCTAATTGTAAATCAATGAAGCTTGTGTATTGCGGCGAAAAGTCGATTAGCTGGTAGATTGATGTATTGCGTAAGAATTAAGAAAAGCGGATTGACTAATTAGAGATTTATTGGAATGGCCTGCTAATACTTTTATTTTGGGGATTAGTCATTCGTTTGATTATTTTATTCTTCTTTTAATCTCTCAGCTAATAGGATATAATTGAGCGACCGATGATTCTGTTGGGTGATAGTGATTTTAGTAGGAGTTCAAAAAATGGAAATTTTTAAGAATTCAAACGTCACATGAAACGGATTTTAATAAGAACATTCTGAAAATGATTCTGGTCATCCACATTTTTAGACTTCATGGCAAAGGAGACATAGAGAGAGAATGGAAAATGTAACGGAATAAATTTACATCTATAGATATGTGCAAATTGTTTTATTAATGCTTGAGAAAATGCTTGATAAACTCTTGATAAGAATCTTCATGGTCGTGTATATGCTGTAATATCAAGGACATGGTCATTGTTAATGTCGCTTTCAGTGAAGGGACATGTTTTGCAATCCTAATCTACAAACAAGCCAATCGTTATTCAAGGACTGATTATTGTAATCTTTTTAATCTCTGATCTAATGCACCTGAAGTCATAAATTCATGTGTAATAATTAATCAGTGGGACTATTCGTGTCTGTTAGTACTGAGTCCTGAGGATTTTAGTTAACACGCTTTCCTCAAGTGTCGCCACCACTGCTACCGATATTTTTACGTTTACCTATTTCCTTTGAGCGAGGGTAGGTTATTGGCTGACGATTAAATTAAAATTTATAAAATGAAGAATTATGTATAAAAAGTCAATTTACATATGTATGTTTGGTTACTTTTTAACGTTTGTCAGCTACTCGAGGAAAAAATTGAGCTGACGTCAATGGCTTTTCATAAATATACAAACTTTTAAGGTATCAACGGGACAAGTTTGTTATACAATATTCCTACACTCTGTTATAATTAATGTTATATTCATTTAGTCTCCAATGGATATCTCATCCATACACAAATTTAATATACCTAATAAAATAATTGATATTACTACATAATGTATGTAAAATTCTATAAATATTGAGCGTGAACTACCTTTCGAATTTTTACAAACGTAGATTCAACTGCTTTCAAGGGTTTCAAATTTTCCCGCTCCTTGATACTATTTCCTACCGTCACCGCACGCATATCGACCGGAACTTAAGTAAAAGAATTTCATTCGACGCATCGCAGGGCTGTATGCATAAAAACAGTCACAATTTATTGCGTCGTATCACCTCTCTTTAAAATAAGTTTGTTTTTATATTACACCGTTCACACAAATTTTAGTAATATTAAAAATCTGAAATTCCCTGCATACGAATCATTACTTTCTTGAAACCGACAAATTGTACATAGTTCCAAAAAAGATTTGTACTAATTCAGAGTACTGGGCCCCAAAAAGTTGGAGACGTAACTGTGACGCGTGGCCAGGCTTGCCTGGGGGGCCCAAGCAAGCTATCGGCCATTGCTAGGGAGTTAGCTTCGGGACTAGGATAGAAAAGGATCGGTTCTGAACATCCCCCCTATAAAACTATTTAGTGATTTCGTGTTATGATTTTGGGCATTTTGTGATCCGGGTGTTTTCGAACTGTTCCCGTGGGCTATGGAGAAGAAGGATTCGGAGGGTCTAATCGCAACGAACGAAACAGTGCTGCATGCGAATCTCCTAAAGGGAGGACCTCGGCTGACACCAACTGGAAAAATTAGCCATGCCAAGACTCGTGTCTACACCCAACGTTATCGTAAGGAATGGGAGCAGATGCCAGACTTCAAAGGTATTCAAAATACGGAGGTCTATCCAGGAATTTTTTAAGACCTGGCGCTAATTTTGTCCCTCTTCGATTATGTGCTTCACTGAAAAATGTAGCGGAATGTTTGTTGCGCTGTATTCATGTCTTCCGTCGTCGCTGTAGTGCGTTAGCGCGCGTTTATCGTCAGGGCCGGCTTTTCCGTAGCGCCCTGTGCAATACTGTTTTTATACTTATTTTTAGAGCATCAACTCTTTCGGCAATCACCGGCGGAAGCTATTATAATCCTGGTTATGATAATGCGCGGGAAATTCTATTAACGTTCAAGAAAAATTATAGATTGTTTCATGGTTCTTCAGTAAAGAATATTTTTGTAACATTCATTCATTTTTATTTTCAGGATGGTTAACTTCTGTGCCGTTTCAACCGACTCGTGCCTTTTGTACGTACTGTAAAAAGAATTTACATGCTCATAGACTGTCGTTGTTGAAGCATACTTGTACTATGAAACATCAGAGATCTGCTCTGATGCATCAGAATGAGATGAATGCCAAAAAAGCTGCAGCTGAAGTAAAAATAGCAGAGATTGAGGCTGAGCTTGAAGATGAACCTGAGGAAATTGAGGTAATAATTTAACATATATTTATTGTTTTTACTTTGTACATTATGCAAATATTTTTTAGACTCAGGTTGAGGTTCTTGAAAGGGATAACGAAGAGGATGACGATGATATAGAATACGTAGTAGAAAGATTAGAAATGGATGACGAGGAAATCGAAGAGGCTAGAAGAAAACATGCCGAAGAGCAAGGAGTGCTGGATGAAGAGTGTGAAGAAGACATGGAAGATCAATCACACCTTCAGCTTAACTCTGATGAGGAGGAAGATGTGAAACCTCCCCTGAAGAAAATCAAAGTAGAAAGAAATGTTAGTTCTTCCTCAAAATATCTTTTATCACGTTTCAGGTATTTTTATATCCCAATTGCAATAATTTCATTATGCATTTTTAGGATGACAGATGCCGGGATGCTCTCGCGGAGGCAATGGCTCATGTCCATGGAGAGTATATTGATGAAAATGGAGACCAAGTGAACGTGGAATTAGAAATGGTCGTGGAATCGGTGGATCAGGAAAATCCAGAAATGCGAGTCATGTCGATACTTCCTGATGTGCGGAACAGCGAGAACGAAATTACCGTAGAATCGGCTGAAGACGACGAGCATTTGTCGCAGAGGAACGACGAAAATGAGGTCAAGAATTCTTCATCCAGCGTTAAGTCTGCTGGGGTAATTAATATTGTGAAGCGCTTAAGCATTGCCTAAAAAAATAATAAAGAAATCTTGCTTTCTGTTTTGTGCAGGACGGGGATTCCAGTGATCCAAACAGCGAAAACGAGTTAGTTATGTTGCATCCTTCCGGTAGATTAGGTTCTGCTTATCAGTTGAACTCATCAAAATCTTCCACGACATCATCCCCGGGAGTTCCACAAGGTCATAACACGATGACTAACGCTCCGTTGCATAATAAAACATTTACAATCACTTCGGGTGGTAAAACTCTTACACTAGCCGGAGGAAAATTTACTCCCGGTGCTCACTACGTATTAAGCAACATAAAAGGGAAGGGACCCACCCTCGTAATGGCGGAAAAGAAACCGATAACAGCTGTCGGTCAATCTGAAAATTCTATGAAATCCGGACAAATTAAGTCTTCGCAGCAACAACAACTTATGCAAAGCGCATCATCCTACGCTGTTGCTGGAACCAGCCAACAGTCACCGAAAAAGGTTTGAAGCTTAAAAGGCTCAGTAATCAAACACAATACTTGAAATATAATAAAATGATGATTTCTTTTTTTAGCATGTCATTCTCAAGTCCGCCAAGTCACCGCCATCGAAGAGACCTTGTATTTCTACTCACGTTTTGGACACCAGTAAAGGACTTCCGGTTGGTGGACTTCAAGTCAGTCTGTACAAACTGATGGATGGCAGGTGGACGTTTCTTAATGAGAGCAACACGACGCCAAACGGTCGTTGCAATGACCTTGTGGATACCACCAAATGGAACTTCACGGCAGGTCGATACAAAATTCATTTTGACGTCGACAAGTACTTCACTTTGAGAAGGATTGAAACCATGTATCCGTTCATCGAGATTGTGTTTGATGTGAAAAATCCCACAGGACATTATCATTTACCTGTGCTACTTAGTCCGTTTGGTTACTCCACGTATCGCGGCTCCGAAAGATGAGTGTAATAGAGACAATTAAAACGAAGAAAATATTTTTGAAGTGTATTTTGAGATAATTAAAGTTTATCTGTACTAAGTGGTACAACGATAAACTCGAGATTCCAGACTGACCGATGACGTCACGTTTGGATGTTGAATTATGCAATTCTGGCGATTGCAGAGACGAGATAACGCTTGTACCACACTGTAGATTATGTGTACATTGTGATTGTCAATTGTCGGTGATGCGTTTTCAATTAGCCGATTAAATCTGGCTATCACGCTGCCAAAAAACCCGCCCCTCGCCCCCCTAATTATGTACAAAGAAAACTAGAAACCCAATATCATTAATTTACATATTTGTAATATTAATCGCAAAGTGTCTTGACGCATCCCATGGAAATTCACACTTGAAATCCAAAAATTAATATTTTTCTGCTCTCGTTATGGTGACAAATAAATTATCAAACGAGAATATTTCTAAATTATTATATGAAATATTGTTTCCTCTAATCCGGGATATTTTTGTATTTTTAAAAATCATTTGATAACATCAGACACGTGCTTGATTTGCCAAAAAATATTTTACATGAAGAACATTGCTGCAACGCACACTTGCGCTATATGCCTTTCGACCTATGACTCCATTTTATCACGATCCAGTTGACATGCAGGAACTTTAGACCTTTGAAATCGTTTCTACGGAGCATATCGCCCCAAGTTAACCACAGTCACTGATCAACACTTCAGTCATGAGTGGTCAGGATGGAAAAGCATTGAAAACGGAGGATAAACCACATATTTCAACTCATGTCTTGGATACCAGTCGAGGACATCCAGTCGATGGACTCTCAGTCAGTCTGTATAAACTCGTCGATGGAAGATGGATTTTTTATAAAGAGAGGTAATCAGATAAAAATATCTTATGGGTTAAAGTTCTCAAGAAACAAGAAAAAAAAAGCGTTTTTCATTTCCTAGCAATACCAATGCGAACGGAAGATGTGCCGACCTTCTGAACTCTGAGGAGCTCAATTTCACGGTTGGTCGCTACAAGATCCACTTCGATGTGGAAAAGTACTTCAGTTCTACCAACACCAACACAATGTACCCATTCATCGAGATTGTGTTTGACGTTAAGAACTCTACAGAACATTACCACATACCGGTTCTCCTGAATCCCTTTGGCTACACGACATACAGAGGATCCTAAAGCGTCAACTGAAAAACGACAGTGTTAATGTAGAAAAATATCATTTATTTCATTGAAAAAAAAAGTTACAAATCTGCAGACTTCAAATCGTTCAAGAGAGTATGTTTCTGTTTATTATGAAATATAGTTTTGTACTTGCAGCAGGTACGCCTGTGAACTGTTCCGAATGAATAATAACGATAGAATTGAATTGTCAATTTCCATAAAATTGAATTCCTTTTGATTACTCAGGAGGTAAGTAACCCTTAGTCACTTGAGGAGGATTTTGTGGTGGCAGGTATGCATTTCCCCCATTTTGACCGGGTAGACCGCCACTGGTACCTGCTTTCTGAGGACCTGGAAGTTTTGAAAAAGCCTGCGACCTTCTTCCGGGATCCGTTCCGAAGCTGAAGCTGGCTCTGTTTCCATTCTCGTCAGCAATGTACCTTTCAATTAAAAGTGGGGTTTTTATAATCCCCTAAAATCATTACTACCACCACACTACATCAGTCTACTCACTTGACGGAAATAGGAAGACCCTCGGGACTCTTATAAGAAAATTGACCCTGGACAGTCCGAACCAATTGACCCCCCACCAGTTTCAATTCTGCAGTTTCCTCCCTCTGGACGTCATCCCCAAAGTTGGGTGTGTTACTCTGGCTGATAGGACCAGCAGGACTCAATCTGGTCGACGCAGCAGGACTCGATTCGAATGGTGTAGGCAAACTGAGTCCACCGGAACCACGTGCGAACAGGGGTGCCTTCTGATCCGGTGATAACTTCTCGGCGAACACGTGCCAGAGCAAAGCATAGAAAACCTAGTGTTTTTGGCAGATGGTAACAAGTGACTTTATGCGAAGGGGGAGCAAAGTCCACTCTTTAGAATCTCGTAAATTCGTTTCTATTTAAAATCTTTTTAGCGGCTATTGAATCATCATTCGACACTTTCACGTATATGACGATCTAATTTGAATAATTTGACGGACTATGACATTTCCTAGTGGACCTCAGTTACGTTAGTTAGCATCATTCTCTATATTGAGTAAGAGTGATATTCTGTACTTAAAGTATCCGTGTGTATGCGAAGAGATCGGCAATTCATCTCGATCCTTGTCATTCTCTACATCCATTCAAGATTAAACAACACGCTCTTGCCTAATAAGGTTGTCCCTATTACCTTTACAGAAATTACCATGCATCATGTAATCCTCATTGGATTACTGGGCGATTTATCAATTAAAAATACCAAGTGACTTTACTATTCCTCAAATCTCATATACAAGTATAATGATACAAAAATGGAGTCCTCCCTTAAATTATAAATAATTGCATTAAAATTTGAAAATTTAATTTATCCCAATGTTGCGTAATATAAGGATTCCAAAGGAAATGCTTTTATTAAATCCTACAGTTGTCCTCACGGAACCACCTTAATTTTTCGACAGACATAGACACCCTAAAATCGATCAATGATTAATTTATTGTCCTCCTGAATAGAGAAACGTACCAAGGATTTAATCGTGATTAGGTAACACTCCATCATGATCACTTGTTCACTTAATGTCCTCACTCTCTCCCGATAACATAGCCAGACACTGGGAATAAGGATACTCAATGATGGCTTAGCTGGACCATCGAGCTTTATAGTGATCTCCGCTCCTGTCTCTCCCTCTCTTGATCCTCTCGTAGATCGCATCCCCGCCTTCCCAGAGACCTCGAGAGATCATCGTGAGCCTCACCTGTCCTCATCTGATTCCTACAATAAAAGAGACTTTCGGTGCTTCTCACGGCGTCATCTGAAATTGTGTAATGCGATTTAGAGTCAATTCAGGCTTTTGATCCTACCGGCCATTCGTCAAGATCATCCTTGATGATCGAAGTAACCAGAATGCTATATGAAATAAAAGAATATACCTGAACGATCGTTCCTCAATGCCGGTCATAAAGTTTCTATGATAGTCATAAAAATACTGAGTTTAATTATCGTCCATGCAGGTGAAACTAGAAATATTATATTTTCATTTACATTTATTATGATGGTATCATGTTTTCAAAGTAGGAAGTATATTCTAATTAGATATCCTGTTTAGGAACGATTTCTAACTGAAATTTTGAAGCATGACGAATTGCCAGGATTTCAATGTTTGCACAGCACTCGATGCCAAATGACGGTTGAAATCTTCGCACGTGAAAAGATTTCTTCAGTCTCTTGACTAATAGAAACCAAACGGATACCACCGTGCGACACCTTCACTGAAACCGATGCACGGCGATAAATAATTCGAGGCGTGCAATAGTTTAAGTACAGTACACCTAAGTATCTGAAGAACGACGTTATTTTCAAAAGTATAAATAATTGACGTTCTGTACTTGCCTAATGTCCAACAACTGTCAAATGTTCCACACGTAACCCCGTAGCGGAGCGTTCGCGTCGATGAATCATTCATTAAAATCGAATTGACGTGACCGTTGTAAATCGACTTACATTTAAATTCCATCTTATTAAATCAGTTATTGCTCCAAGTAGAATAAATATCATTGTATAATCGACTGGAAGCAAGGGCGACAAGAAGGACCGTATAAGGGTAAGAAAAGTTACTCCGTGAAGATGACACTGGAATTTATCGTCTGCAAAGTCCAAAGGATCGTCGAAAGGCCATGATCGTCACGATTGATCGAATTGACTCCGGATCATTTAAGTCTTTATAGGGGTAGATCATATCAGTCGCGATCTTCGTACTACCAATAGGATACGTTTGCTATTTATGTTCGAGTCTAGTGTTGACATTTCTAATCCACCGAACCCACATTCCGCAACGTGACGGTAGCCACGATTGATACGCCATCTGTTAAAAGGCACGAAGGGCACGTGAACTAAAAGCTTACAATGGCTGCTCAGCCCAGTTACCAGAGGAGTTCGAGGTCGCTGCTATGCATTATCGATGTTCAATTGAAAATTTATTCCAAGATCGAATTCAATATTCACGTATTAAACGGATTCTCGTTAAAGGGGACTTTCCTACTAAGAGAAAGGTATAGGTTAAAAGGTTCGCGCCTGGCTTGTTTGTGTATCCCTGTCTGCCTTTACGTCCCACGAGCCATTCTAGTGAATTCACACACGCAATTCACGCATCGTATATTACCGCATTACGTAATCCAGCCAGACAGACGTCGCGTCACAACGAATTGTAATTTTGACTGTCCTCCTCGTGTGTCCATTTCAAAATTTCATCTGGCTAGACAAATCTCTGAAATACGTGCATATCTAAGTGATCCATGAGTTATAATCAGAAACGAATATTAACTCTGTAAACGTTCATTGGTATTATTTGGTGATTTGTGGAAATATTGAAAAATTACCAATTCGAGTGATTGCCAAAGAGAAGCATTGAACGGTGTAGAATTTCGAATGGCAATAACAGTGGACGCCTTTGGCATTTATCTTAAACGGAGAAAACATTGCTTTGGCAAAAGATGGTAAAATCTGGTGAGATTGGAGAGGACTGTGAACTTATGGATTCTGGATAATAATCTATTGTACTGTTATTTTTTGTTAACAAGACATTTAATGGTCGTTTAATATCTGAAAGCTCAGCAGAGTCAACAGTTGCGTGGGACAGACGTTTAAGAGGATTTTCATATCCCAATTTTGTTTTCCTTCTCACGCTCGCAGCCCAGCTTCCCCCTTTTCCATTCTCTCATTCTCTCATTTGCAATTGCACGCGCATGCACCCATGCACTCTCACACGGTGTATGTATACCTTTCATTGGAACATAGTAACGTTAAATCATTAAGTTTATCTCGAAAACTTAACCACCGATTAATTATCAATTAAACGACAAGTTACGTGCTAGGAATTATCCAAAGACTGAGTAGCCATGTCATCCGTACCGGTAAGGAGAAAGAAATAAAAAGAAAGAGAGTGTTATCGCATTAATTTCAAAGTTGCAAAGCGCACAGCGTCCCATAAGCATATTCCTCCTACGAATGTCCCCACCCGCTCTCGCCAGCCTATTATTTTTTCTCACAATTTCCTTAAATCGTTCGAACAACAACCGAGAGGAAGATTCCGCGCAGGGGCAACCAATAAAGTAATAGAATCAATCGATGAGTTTAATCGGAAAGGATTGGTAGAACATCTCGAAAGGATTATACACAGTACAGGTTCTCGCGTATGGTTCGTTACGCCACATGAGGCTCTTTTAATTCTCGTTCTTCGATACACGTCCATTCAAAATATCGTGATTTTTATATCTCGTCAAAAATAATTCGTCTTTGAACATTCTCGCGTCCATAAAGGACCCTCTCCCTTCTCTTCGTCTATCATTGCTCTTCCAACGTGCTTCCGGTTTCCTCGAGGCTGCTTCCCTCCATAGCAAATTTACATTACATCGCCCTAGTATTAATGCAGAATTTTCAATTTCGCGACTGTACTCCTATGTGAACCTTCTTCAGGACGCACAATAACGTTATGTTACATAGAAAACGTGTATACAGGTGAATTCATCTATAGGCAAACCATGTACTTTTTCATTGGCTCCGGAAGTGACGGACTCAACGTTAGTCTCGCTACAGAATCGCTAGTGAGAATGATTCATTAGCCAGCGTGCTGCAGAAGCACAGGTGCACGAAATTCGTACGAGCGACAATTTTTCTTTATTCTTCGGGTTAACCACAGATTATCAAAGTACGCAGGGACCTTTTTTTATTATCCCGTCACACGACGGATTCGACCCTCGATGACCTTTACTTCGCTTTTTTTTTTTTTTAAATTAGTGAGAAAGCTGTTACTGACTGGTTAGTCGGTACGCATTGTTACATGGACGCGCACGTTTCTGTTTGTGTTCGCAGTACGAATTAATGTCGCTTTGATGAAAGTAAATATTCAGGATTATAGCAATTCTTTCTCTTTTCTTGGGAGGGATTCATTCGATTTCTTTTTGTTTTATTTCACGAACGCTTAGCTCCGAGATTTTATGTACGAGACAACATACCTATGACATAATAGACTTAAAGACGCTTGAGAACTCGAAAAAATATATATATATATAATATTTATACATATGCATACGTATCGTAGAGAATTTAAATAAGGGAGGGTCTTAATCTAAGATAAAAGTAACAATGCACAACGAAGGAAATAACGTGAGGGAAAACGAAGAAACGTGACGGACCGAGAGAGGGAGAAAAATAAGGGAACTTTAAATAAATAGATTGTAGAGGGTGCATGCATCCCTAAACTATGCTGCACTACTTTAAAGGGAGATTTACAGCGAAGAACAACATAACGCTCGCCACCCAATATAATTTCACTTAACGTTATGCGATTTACATTACTTTGTGCACTAGCAGCAGTTGGGAATGGAACGCGCCTGATGAAAAGGTTGTTTCCAAATATAAAAATTAAAAAACTCCAACAAGCCTTTTCGAGTGAAGTTATTCTTAGTCTTTGTTACTCCTCGCTTTTCTAATGTCTCATATAAATCGCCTCGAGCCATCCTCTTATCCAGGTGCGTCCCTCGCGTTACTCGTCGCCTCTGCGTCGCAAAAGAATTCAAAGTATTTACAATTCACTGCTGAATCCTGAATGTTTACCACAAAATGTGCAACCACCATGAGTGACTTTATTCGCAGAATTACGACGTATCCAGAATCAATTTTATTTCTCCTGATTTTCATACCTTTTTCTACATTCATTCACCTTCTTCCCGGTCATAGGTCATCCGCGAGACGATCTCAAGCCGGTATCTAGGATGTCAGAGGATCAATGTGTGTGTCTCAAGACCGTGAGAAATCGCAATGATATTAATCTTAATAGTAAAAGCATATAAGCTATATAGCTACCATTTTGTATCTACAATAAACTTTAATAATCTTTTTTCTTTCTTCATCTCGTATTATGTATATCACCTAGGAGATGCTTAATAGTCTCTACGCACACAGACGTTCACTCGAGTCTCCAGTTCTCACGGGAATAGGACAACGTTGCGTTCCTTTTTCGCGTCGACGACCTCAATTATTACTTTTGTTGTTGATGCTACACTAAAAGTGCTTCGATTTTCCGGCAGGTTACATCACGACGACGACGACGACGGTTACGACCAGCTTCGTCATTTTCATATTCATTTCTATTTTTCCCTCGTTTTAGCCTCCAATCGTTTCTTGTTCTTCTATTTCAGAGGCCTCGTTTCGCATTCGCGCTACGCGAATTCGACAGAACACCAATGTTGCAGGCTCGTCCCTCGCTAAATGCAGAATGGCAAACCGATTGCGTTGCGATGCGCCCGTAGAAATGAATAGGACGCGACTATGTCAGGGCCGGCGAGCAGCGTGGACGACGTTAGCGTCTCCCCTTTTAGCAAGTAAAAAAGTATTTCGTCAGGTCGACTAACTCCTGAGGATGATCGAACGCAGACGGAGCGATTAGCCCTTTGTTATGATTTCCTCATGCTTTCCACTTAGGGGATGACTCGCAGAACGTATAGTGACTTCCGTCTCTTGTAATTCTCCCATTGACGTATTTGATCGAGTCAATCGATTCCCGACTTCCTCGGGAGTCCTATTTCCGGCTCCTGGATTCAGGAGGTTCCTTCACGAGTATGCTCCTTGCACCTTCCTCCTCTCTTGACTGCATCCAGCCCTGTCGAAGCTTCGCCACGTCCAGGACGGATCCATTTTCCATAATGAGAATGGATCTGGGTCTCGTTACTGAAGAACGCAGCACTTGCACTTTGGCTTCTTCTTCAGGGTGACGTGTTCGACCTGTGATGCGTCGCCAGGACCCTGAGCAGTGACCCTGCCGACCTCGACCGTCGCAGCATTCGTCGCTGACCCAACCTGCCAATGATGGATTCAGAATTAGAACAAGATCATCAGAAAATAATCCCTGGCCTCAGTCTATGCAACCTCAGGACGGAAGCACATCGTGCTGCACGCTTCGCAAGCTGGAGACTCAGTGTTAACAGCCTGGTGGCTTGTGAACGCGCGAAAGAACCTACAGGTTCTCGCTCCTTGCGAACATACGCAACATTCGATTTACCTTCTCGTTGACGGGCTGCTGGCTGTTGACGGAAGCGTTGGCTTTGACCGGCGTACTATGAGCATTTCCGTTACCCTGATTGATCCTGGGCGAGGAGTTGGCCTGCTGCGCGGGGGTGGCGTTCGCGCCAGACTTCAACAGGGGACTCGAGCTGGAGTCGTTTTCCCCACTTGGCGTTTTGCTCGAGGCTTCGCAACCCGGCAAAGGCGGCGCATTCTGTCCAGGAGTAGGTGTTATAGGCTTGCCTCCCTTTATCAGCTCGACTATCTCGTCGGCCTCTCTCGAGAGGTCACCGTCCGGCCTGAATGGATTGTCCCAGCCGCTGTCGGTGCTGCAACAAGGAACGAAGAAACATACGCTTAGACTGGGTAGTAAAGGATAATAGACAATTTTACAATTTTTCATTGGCCAAATGTTTATCGCCCACGCTAGCTCGGATGCACTACTGTTGCGTCGCGCAACTTCCTCTTAACAGCCGTGACATTAGCTTTGGCATTGAATCGGACCTAATTAGGCCGATGGGCGCGTATGTGTATCACGGGCACACATGAATAGGTATGGGCTCGCGCTGGTAGGTTACGTGCCTCGTGGAGTGCTTGGGAACCAATCAGTGGACAGTGTGGACGTACGAGCGTGCAGCGTGTGGACGAGGCTATAGATCTACGGCAGAGACCAACTACGGAGCCGGTTCTCTTCCTCTTCATTTACGTGCCACCCGGTGCAATTATCCTCGGCGCCACTGAGGAAATTAAATCCGACAAGCAACTTCAACAGCCCCTAGAGGTCTTACTTTTTGCACAGTTCAGAAAATCCCAAGTATCCCTTCGACGACTTCCGATGATCCATCCTCTCAGTAATGACCAAAGTATCGAATACAGTTTCCGGTTTCTTGACAACTTTAATTTTTTTACCTTTTGACGTCAGGAGCATTTACCCCCCCACCCACCTTCCTGGAACTCTCCTTGAATAGCCATCAGCCACAAAACCCTTCCTTCTCCAGAAGGTAGAGGGGAGATAACGAGGAGCAAGCAGGAGAACGGGAAAGAAGGTCTACTCGAAGAAGGTTCCCGAAGGAGTAGGTGGAAGCGGAGAAGGTTGGCCGCCGGCCAGCTCGGCTAATAACGTGCTCGATATTACGAAATCGTGACGAAATCGACTCTTGGATATTTCCCAAAGAAAATTGCATTCCTCGATCTTCTCTCCCGGCGAATGATGCACCCTGACTTCCTCGATGAGTTTTCATCCCCATTGCGTCTGTCCATCTTCGACCCTCTTTTCAGTGCCATTCAATTGAATCCAAAACGGACGGAAAAAAAATAAAAATTCAAGGAAAAACCGGAAAGCTCGGCTAGTTCTAAAAGCTCGATGGGTGGTGAGGAGGGGGGAGGGGTTGATATCTCAACGAGGTTAACGAGGACTATCGCGTGGTTGGAACTACACGAACCAACTCCCTCTTCGTCCTACCCCCCCGCCGACAACTTTCCCCGATCCCGTCGCCCCTCGTTTCTCTATGAATATATACTCTGTGCCACACGTATACACAGCTGGCATAGAAAACTTGCTGACGGGTCGCTATTGTGTAAACGCGCCTTCACACTGTTTCTATACGTGCACGGAGTATCCTTGTGTCACGCTTGTGTATCCGTGTGCTGGCAGCTTATCTAGGGGTTGTAGACCCCGAGTGTCGAGGGTCTGCAACATCCCCTATACCATAGCGAAGTAGGTTCCCGTTAGAGGTCCAAGGAACGTCGTAATTCTAATCTTCTTGTGTCCGTCGAGAGACGATCTGACGAAATAAAAGAATTCTCAAAATCATCCCCTTGTATTACCTTTCCCACCCCACGGCATCCTTCGGCACTTTGACCACGTAGTAGACATGGCCGCCGTGTGTAGTCGTCATCCTTACGACGTTGATTCTTCGACTGTCCGCTAGTGGCGCTGCTCAACACGCCTCAACCGTCATCGTTCGCGTTGCACGATTCGAGCGTCGAAACGTTGAAAGTTCGAAAGTCACTTTTGGCACGGTTCGCGCGAGTCGCGAATTTCGAAACTCGGACCGCGTGGGCGTCTTCGCGTTCGCCGGTTATCTCTTTCGAAATTTTATTTTTCCACTGCGTTTATTTTCTTTCTCAATACGACGTACGTCCGTCTCTTTTTTTCAAGCGTACACTCTCTTTACACTGGCTGCACTTTCTTCCTCTTCTCTCTCTCTCTCTCTTGCAACACTCGAAAGAAAACGCGGCGGGAGTCCGCCTCCTCGCGCTATCTTCTCACCAACGTTATTTCAGGCCTCGCGAAAAGATATTTTTGCAAAGAGTCCCGATGCTCCCATGCTGCGAGAAAGGAATATACGCTTTTATGAAAATTGCACAAGACCCGCCGACGGCCTCTTTGCGGTTGGATTCAGGACCGGTGAACATTCCGCGAAGTGCACGAACGACCGGAGAAAAATGTTGAAAAAAGATAAGTCCGAGCGTGAAGTTAATCGCGATTTAACGGACACTACCCAACGGCAACTTCTGTCGCTGCTATGTAAACGCTCCTGCAGAGCGTAACCCTTGCTGCGACCAGCCGACTCTTCTCTCTGGGTTAGACTGGACTGGACTATTACGCGGGATCATTATTTCAGAAGGCAGAATCATTCCGCTTCCTACTACCCGACACTCTCCGGTGTTCTCAAACCTATATTCGACTATCCTCCCAAAGCTCTTACGTCACACCCGTGGACCTGAGGTCATCACTCTTTGTTTCGATGAAACATCGCACGGCGATCTCCGATCTATACTGCAAAGCTAGAATCGGATAAACAATGATCCACGTGAATTATTCTCGCAGAGTGTACCTACAGGCCCACGCCAACGAGATCGAATTGATTGCCTGTAAAGAAATACCCGTGTCTAGAATCCATTCGGGCAGTACAGCGATCTGATCTTAATCCATGTTTTGTTAACGGTACCTCGTGATGCCTTTGGGAATGAAGAATCACCCGTGGCCCAACCATCGGTAACCCGTGTTCCGCGAGAATTGGAACAAGGAAACTAAAGGAATCGCATTGAAAAATAATCTATCTGTAATTTCACTGGACTCGAGGCAGCTGCTGGAAACTGGAACAACTTGGCTACGTATACAAATCGATTCCTCAAGAAACTCGTGAAAAGTGACTCGTTATCGGTACGAAACAATGGAATCGAGTAGCCACGTATACTCAGCGTCTTAATTGTATCCGCAATTAAATTTCATGGACCAATTGCATCGTCTGAAAGTTATAACCAGCCATCGAGAATTCCCACTCGTCTTTCTTTATACGTGCGACACATTTTTTCTTTGATAAAAAATTAAAAAAAAAATACTTCCATCACATGTATATATACGTATATTTCGACATTTCATCTCCATGTTAAATCTCTATAGGTTATATTACGAATTTTCTGTTTACATTCGTTTCCATAGTAACGGTAGACCCGTGATCAACCCCCATTTGCGCACCCGCGGGCGACACTCGACAATTTTTTAAACCCGTCCTCACAATTATTCGAAAAGACATAATCTCCAAGCAAAATCTGACCGTCCGTACCAAGAATAATTTTCTGGATTACAAACTATCCTTTCGCCGCGTAAAAATATCTCCACATAAAGTATACGTATCCAAATATCTTCAGATCCTCCATTGTCCCGTGGAATTCAAATTGGTCGGAAAAATATGAGAATGCGAAATCGGACCGACGATAAATAAAATCCCACGAGAACGCGACACAGGAACCCATCGGAACAAGCGGAACGACCAGATGGCCGACCCAAATAGCGACCCACGTACACACAGAGATACGTAGTGCCTCAGCTTCGACTACCTAATGGTTGGTAAAGAAGGAATTAAAATTTAGAAAAAATTTCACCCACTTTTTCTCATATTTCCACTATGCCATTCTACAGCAATAAAGTTTTCCCCGAGGTAACTGCCACAGGTGCAGTTGGCAGTACTGCAATCGTCACTACTGGGATCCCTATACAAATGCCAAGGGAGGTCTCTGACACATATTACAGTGTTGACTATTGATTCGTATCTATTTACCGTTTACTGTATATGGCTTCCGGTAGTTAATTCGGGTTACGTATCACGGAACCTTTGAAATTCCAAGGAACCTCCAACGGGCGAACGCGACTCGTATACGAAATGATACAAAAATAAATTGCGCAGTACCAAGCAGATGATTCAAGGTACAACAGGAGTGACGTATGGCATTTCGAATGAAACGATCGCTATTGCTGTCGCTGTTGTGTCGGTAATAAGAACCACTGATAATTCGCGGCAAACCTGTCTCCTCGCATATAACCCATTGCGTACTTATTCAACTGTGGAATAGGACCTATACATTAACCGTATATCTATATGTACAGTCAAAGCGATATAGGCACATGCGACTGCGTGCAATTCCTATATAGTCGACAGTCGTGCATATTCCGTGCGTTTACGTATAACGTATTACGCAATCGAAGGTGTTGCCCAACGAAGAGGAACCTTGTCCCGGTAATTATCACCATGTTAAACTAACTGCGCGATAGGAGCGTATTACAGAATCGTGGAAATTTCTTTGAATTTACAAAAAAAAAATTTTTCAGAACGAACGTTGAAACGAAAATTTTACTTTTTTTTTATGCACGTGAAACACAACTGATAACATTGAAAAAAAAAAAACGAAAAATAGTCCAGAGAAATTTTCGACGAGTGAAGAGAAATTTTAATGCGTCCAACCCTCGCTGATGCACCCTGCACGGGGAGCAACCCCTATGGGAAGGGGCGACCCGATGGGAGGGTGTATATAGGTCATGGCTGCTGTATATATATATCTATACATTATACGTATATATGTATACAGTCTATAGGAATTCGCGCTGTAGTGTACTGCAGTAAATAGGCCAGTGGGACAGAGTACGGTCAAACGTGTTGTCACGATCGGTTTTGGGGTGCGTTTATTAAGCGCGTATAGCTAGTCTCACGTCCAGCTGCGTGCTTGGCGCTAACGTCACGGGGACCCCCAAAGTGTTTTTAGAGATGATCCGAGCGAGTAAATATGGCGAACATCCATGATATTATTAGAGAATCGATGGAGCCTCTGTAAAGTTTCATAGCGAAATTCCACACTTGAATTATTTATATGCCACTAGTGCTATCAGGGCTCTGGTCCCTTTATCGCAATTCCATACACAATACTTTCATGCACGATAGGCTACGACAGTCCAAGGTCACTCGTTGATTTTCAACAGCCGATTCGACTAAGCACGGCTTGCGCAATCGTCCCGAACGATCGTCGTGAAAACCTTCGTGATTCAACGAGACAAACAAACGAGGACTCGTAGAAAAGCGTGTTCACCAGTCACCGACGATCCGTACGCACCACGTGAACCATATCCACTGACCGAATGCACGTAGATCCGTAGTAGCGATTTTTTAACAAATCATAGATACCGATTCTGTATCAATTCTCACCCCC